GCTCTGGGCCCTTTCCCTTTGTTTTCACAAGGGACTCTCCCCGATGTTTTTCAGAGTATTTCTGTTCCCGATCCCTTGCCTGTGAGCATTTTACTCTGCCTAATGGGCTTGCTGTGGATGGCCCAGATTTTCCTCTTCTGGCTCAGGAGGCTCATTCGGCTCCTTTTGTGCTTTTAGGCATTTCTTAAAATATGTGGATGCTCAGAGATGCAGTTTGTTGCTTAACTTCAATATTAGACTCCCTCTACTGTTTTTGCAATTGCTGTTAAATCAACTTAAAAATTTATCCATGAGAAATTCATTAGTTATTTCTCTTCCTTGCTGCTCACTTTTGACATGGTCTTCTTTCCGGCTCTCTGTTTGATGGTTCCTCCTGGGCTGGGGCTGGTGGTGATGCACGGGGATGCTCGGAGTGCCTGAGCAGTGACTTCTATCCTCAACAGCTGCTGATATCAACTGCTGAGGCTCGGTGATGTCATGGGTTTGATTTCAGAGGCGAGCATGAGTGACTGGCATAACTTGGTGCCACAGCTTAGCGTTGGTCACATTTTTTGGCAGTGAAATCCTGCTAGCCTTTTTGCTGTCCAACATTACTGTGGTTCTTTGAAGAACCTCTTGCCTTGCTGCATGGAGCTGTTCTGGGGACAGGGCCTGGACTTTGGCAGAGGTTGGTGCTCTTTGGAGGAAGTTTTACACATAGCTGACATAACCTGAAGCAACTTTTCTGGGGGCCGTGCTTTGGGAAATCACTGCTGATAAAATGTTTTCTGTTTTGAAGCTTTCAGTTGTCTTTAACTTAGAACTAAGATTATTGAATTATGGCAAGTATTTCCATTGCTACCAGGTAGGCACGTGCTATTTTTGCCTTTTCATTTGCAGCTCTCTGAGTTAATGCTCCCTCCACCTTCTCTTGAATCATTTGCAAAATATCTCCAAAAGACTATGAGAACTTCCCCAGGCTTCAAAATTGCGTTATGGCGTTATACTTTCAAAACAGGAAAAATCTACCATCTATGCTCCACGCACCCAGCGGGGGTCTGCCTGCCCTGAAATGGGGCTGTGCTGCTAAAAGGGGCTTCTTGCCCCAAGTAGAGTTGTGCTAGGGCTGCTGACATTTTAATCAGCATTTCATAACTAATTGCCTGGCCATGACTATCTTGTTATCAATTAACAGTCCTGAATGTCAGGAAGTAACTGTATCTCTCTAACTCGCTATGGCTTCCTTCTGGCTCTGGAAATGGCTGGATTTCCTTGCAGGGATGGATTACATGTTTACATTTCCCCTCCTGCTGCTGTGTGTAGTGAGGATGATCCAAGGAAGAAATGACAACGTCTTTATGTTTTTTCCCTACCCTCCTTATATTGTTTGTACCATGGAGTATTAAGAAATTCTTCATATGTGGAGAATATTCCTCATGTTTGGAGCAAGCTGGAAGACGCCTACATTGTAGACTGACTGCAAGAAGCCAGGGGAACAAAAATTTAGCATCAGCATTTGAGAGTGTTTTAAGAATGGCCACTTTTCCAGATGTTGGGAAATGTCCTTAAATGGATGGAATAGTTTCAGTGATCCTATCAGCCTGGAGAGAACTGCTGGGAGATATCTCTGCCATCAGCAGAAAGGTCTCACACCATGCTGACCCACTCTAATGCTGTCCAGCTTTTAAGATGCAGTGTATTGGGACATGGGACTTTCCAGATTAGGATAAATATGACCCACTTACAAAACTAAGCATCCCCTATTCTGGGCCCAAAGAGGCTGCACTTTGGAGGGTGGCTTTTTATCTCTTAGTGTGGCTGAGGGAAAAGGAGTCACTGCAGTTTTGTTTTAGATGGAATCACTGAATGGGCCATGAAGAAGGACGAGAGTGGAGGGTTCTGTGGCACAGCCCTGCAGCTCACTGCAGGCATGCCTCCTCTGTATGTGCAATATGGTGGGCTGCAGACCATGGCTGCTCTTTCACCTGCTCAGCCTACAGGAAAGGCAAAACTTCTATAAGGAGAGTTTCTATTTGCCTAAAACCAGCACTGTAGAGAAGGGACGATGCAGATGTTGCTAATTTCCAGAGGCCATATGTTTGGAGGGACCCCAGGTATCCCCACAAGAACTTTTTGTTATTCAAATGTTCCTTTTCAGAGGTGCTCTGGAGGTCTCCTCTTTGCAGGAGGCTGGCTGCTTCCTCCCACTCGTCCACTCCCAACACGTTTGCTCCGTCCCATCCTTCTGTCCCCTGCTGCTCGATGAGCGCTGCAGCTGGATAAACAGCGATCACTTACAGCCCTCCCTAGCCTTTCAGCCCTCCTGTTGCGGTCTTTTGGTCATGGTGCAGCTTTTGCACCAGTACCAGGAGTGCTCTGGCCCTGATGAGGTGGGTTTCAAAATACAGTGACTCTATGGTGACTGCTGCAGTTCACCTTGCTTTTTCTAAGCACCTGTGCAGTTTGCTCACCTGTTAGAAGCAGCACAGGCAGCCTGTGGAGCTCTGCTGAGCTCTGCCCAGATGTGCAGAGGTGCTTGCTTGGTTTTGTAGCTCTGCTCACAAGGGTAGTGGGAGCAGAGGTGTGAAGGTCCCCTCCCACCTTACTCTCTTTTTTCTCTAATATGCATTAAACTACTTGTTATAGTAAAGACCGAGCCTCTTTAGAAGCTCTACTTAACCTTCTTATCAATCACTTTGACAGAACATAATAAATCTACATTGCTGAAGCATTATTTCAATTTGTAAAATCCCTGGTTCTCCATGGCAGCTCATCCAGCAGCGCCTTTTCCTTCCTCCTTTCCTACCCTATGCAAAGTAACGTTGCCTTTAGGAGTGACTGCAGAGCTTCGCTTTCTTTTGAATCACACAGCATTTGAATCCCAGTCCCTGGATGGTCTCTATGACTGAGTTACTGCAGCCAAAGCCCTGTCCCCGTAGCTCACGGATGTGTGTTTATACAAGACTGTACAGCTCCTCTTTGTGTAGCCATTAATTTTATAGAGGGCATATAACAAAGATGGGCCTCCAGTACGCCTCCAGCCTTTGATCTGCCTGGGGAGCACAGCCCGATGGACCCAGAGCTGCTGGCACTGCTGGTTTACTCTGCTCTGTGGACGCAGCTTTTAGAGCAAACACAAACTCATGTTTTCTCTCAGCAGTACTGCAGTACCATTGTCGGTTGTGCTGCTGTCCGGCTGCATTTGGTATGGAAGGGCAGGGGTAGCTCAGGGTTTGTTTGCTGTTAATGTTAGCTAAGCAGTTTGGTTCATGCAACCCACGGGTGCCCCAAAGCCTTGCAGACGGGTAGGCGGATTATTAAGGGTCTATACTGTTGCTAATGGAAATAAAGTCCGTGTATTGGCAGGCTGTATGCAGTGACCTTGTGGCACGGTGCTCACTCCGAAACAAAATATCTCCAAAACAGTTCTCTTACAGAACCTCATTGTCATCCAAGCCCTACTCAAAAAAACTTTTTTTTTTTTTTTTTCTCCCAGTCTGGCAGAAATTGGGATTCCTGGATCTGAATCTGACCTTGTCCTCCAAAATGATCTCTGGTCAGAAACTCTTTTGTTTAGACGTGGCACATGGTGTAGGACAGTGACCAGTGCCAACACTGGCAGAAGGCAATTGCTGATCAACCAAGTCTGGTGCCCACTGAGTTCCTGTCCTAAGTTTGGGTAGGGTTGTTCTCATTTTGGGTTGTTGAGCCTTCTGGCTCAGCCCTAGCTCTGTTGATCCCCAGCAACATGCTTAACTCTGAAATTTATTTTATTTTAACAAAAGACTACCCTTTTTTTGATCAACCTAGATGAAAGCTGAGCACAAAGCTAAAAACATTGTTTTACTGTGTAATTTTAGATTACTGAAGATAGATAGCCAAACTGTTTGCTAGCATCATATTGATGAGACTTTTCCAACGCAGAAAATGTTTGTTCATCTAAAGTCTCCTATGCTTTTTGGACATTCATCCACGGGCATTTTCAGGATGACAATGTATTCTGCAGATGTTTGCCATGACATCTATGCCCTGTGCAAAGTAGGGGTTGCTGCCTGTTATCTGTCAGCTTGCCTGTTATACTGCTTTACCTCTTGGCACTTGATGTGGAGACAAAAAACAAGGAAAAAAAAAAAAAAAAAGGGAAAAAGAGTGTCTAGGAAGTATGGAAAATGTAGAAACCCCTGACAGTTGTATTGTGTGTCTCAATTCTCCCACAGAGAGGAAACCACAAAATAGTGAGTCCAGGGATTTCTTTCTGCACACAATATCTGTCAGGGTTTTGAGGAAATTTCAGGGAACTGATGAAAGAAGTGTGCTGTTTAAGCCCTTGTCTGTATGGTGCAGTGGTTCTATACGAGGGAGATGCAGTGCTCCACACTGGCAGCTTCCGCAAGACTTTCCAATCAAAAATAAACCCGCAGGTTTTGAGGGGATCTCTTTCAAGAGGGCAGATTGCCTCCTATGGGAACAGAGGCAAAAGCAAAAGAGAAAATGAGCTTGAACTATGGAGAAAAGGCACCCAGTGTGTTCAGTTGCTATAGTTTTCCTCATGAACCTTTGCGGGTTTGCTGATGGCAGATGCGTGGGCATCTTAGCAACACAGGGGATCTCACCTTCCCAGGTTTAACTTTCTTGATTCTGATGGGCAGGTGGGATGTGAGGGGGAGTTCTGTGTGTAATGAGTCCCCCATGCTTAGCAGTGTCATGCTCAAGGAGACCCCTGTGTGCCAAGGGACCAACAATGAGCATACAGCCTGACTTACAGCCTTCCCAACAAGGTGCTTTCTGGGGCTGCCCTGTACTTGTGGTGACCGGCAAGCAATGCTGCTAATTGTGTGAATACCTTAATTAAGGACCAAGGAGGCGGTTGGAAGTGCATCAGGAAATGGGAGCAACATGAGTTGCTCCCAAAAAGACAGTGACAGTGTGTTTAATTAGCCATTCTCCTTAGGATTTATTGCATTAAAAATTAATTCCTGTTTTGTTTTTGTTTTTGTTTTTTTTTTCTTTCTCTATTTCAGGTCCACCTGTAAGTACTGAGACTCTATGGTGTACGAGCTACTGACATGGTTTGTGGGGCATGAACTGGCAGTCTCCTGTCTGTGGTGTCCACCTTGGCATCTCACAAACAGCAAGTACTGTGGGTGCTCAGGACCTGTGTTGGGATGGAGTTGTTCTTTGCTATGTCACAACTTCTGAGGGTGAGACAAAGGGATTGCAGGGCTGGGACAAAGCAAATGCGAGGGCTCTGAAATCTGTGCGTTAGCACTTGGCCCCACATACCCCAGGGGGATCAGCTGCGTGTGCTTCACATGCATTGGATGCCACACGCTGAACGAGACATGTTTGTGAAAAACGGAAAGACAGATCGCAAACACATGGTGCAAGCTGAGCTGTAGGGACTTGCTTGCTGCTATCACCCAGGCTTGCTGAACTGCTGGGCCTTCAAGTGTAGCTGGGTAACTATCAATTTCAGAGGAAGAAGTGTGTTGACAGCTTCCTTTTCAAATGTTAGCTAATGCAAAACCTCAGCGCAGATGATTTAGGCTGCAGGAAAACACTAGGTTATTGCAGAAGTTTTCTTACAGCTATTAAGAGACCCACAGTGAATCAGAAGTAATGCAAGGAATGAGGCCATGTATCGACATCTCACAGGATTATAAAGAAATGTTACATTGTCTCTAGCACAGTCCTTCCAGAGGAAATGGCTTATATTCATGTACAATAGAGTAACTATACTTGGTTTGTATGAAGGAACATGAGAAGTTAAACATACGGTAGTCATCTTTTGTCTGTTCTTGCAAAAATGTCTTAAACAGTTTGCAGATGACGTTCTGAGGAGAAGTAGTTGCTGCACAACCTATTTTCCCCTTTCATCAAATCAAAAATGCTGTAGACTGGATTCCCACAGATAGATGAGCACAGTCCCTTTTAATGGCAGCAATCTTCCGAAAAGTTGCACCTTCCACGCCGGAAGGTCTGAAAGGATTTTACAGCTGGAAGCCCTGATACACGCAAACCTTCGGCAGTCATTTATCCCAGGGACTTTCAGAGCTGGCCACTGAAGTGAATGTATTTCAGCATTAGATTTGGGTTACAGGGAAGAGATCACGACTCTGGAGGGAGCTGCCACAGGCAGGCGCATACTGATGCTAAAGGGATGTGGCACTAAACTAGTAGCGATGTTGGCATTTATATTATTGCCGTTAGAAACAGGAAAGAAAGCAATAGGTCAGTGCAGACATCTCCTGGAGAGCAGTCTGTGCTTTTGCAGGGCGAGGAGGACGCACAGTCCAGGCTTTCTTTGCAGCAAAAAGGGCTAGAAATTTAATATCATAATGAAAGATTGAAGTCTGGCAGAAACGCGTGGGACCACCAGAGAAGTGCTGACAATGTATGCTACCGTATCCTGGCTTCCTGCGACCCCTGAACCTGTCTCCACATGCAGACTTCTAGGACGGGCCGTGAGGAGTGTGACAGCCAATGGAAATAACAAGAGGAAGTCAGGCAGACTGAGCATCTTTAGCCAAAGTGGAATTTGTCCTGAGCTAACAGCACCTTTGTCTCACTCAGAACCTCTGGGTTTCCAAGAGGCTGGCAAGCGAGACTGATTTCAACTGCTGTGAGCAGAAGCTCGTGGCTGAAGAGACGAGCAGAGTCCTCTATGTTACCATAGGAAATATTTGTTCCACACATATTCCTTATTATTAGAACCGGATGAAAACTCAAGCTTATGAACAACAGACAGGGGCTCCTGCCTGGGTGTCTGTCAGACATGTATATCATTCTAGATAGCGACCCCGAACCACTGATGACCTCACACCTCTCTCCCAGATTTCTTTCTCAGCTTGCAAAAGACAATGTGTGGGGTGGTAGGGCTGAGGCCCTGGTGCTGATGTTGGCTAAGCATGAGTATGGACAGAAATCCACTTTAGAAATGCACTGAGCCTGGCTTGTAGTCTTGGTCAATTAGGGGAAAAGCTGAGGAAAGGATGAACAACAGCCCCAGGAGCAAAAGGAGCCTTTACACTCTCCTCTTGCCCAACAGATCCTCCCTTTGTTGTCCTTGATGTCAGCCAAGGCTTTGGTGAAGGCAAGGGCAACCCGCAGTCATGCAAGAAATTTGGTGAGATTGGGACTGAAATGGGTGAAGGAAGGAAGGAAATGATGAAATCGTGCAATAGTACTGAGGTTCCCGGACTCTTTTGCTGTCTGGACCACATCCGAAGGAAAAGATTCTCTCATGGATGTTTTCCCTCCCATTTCTGAACATGCAACATTTCTGTGGCAACTGCAGCAATTCCATACATGAAAAATTAATATTTAACAGATGGAAACTAAGGAAGAAAGTCAGAGCATGGTAATTAGCTTGTTCTCCATGGACTTGCAGATACCTTCAGAGCCTATGCAGGCAGCGAGCTGTGGGTAGAGCCACGCTGAAATGAGAGAACATTTTACGAACAGGTGATTAGGAAACCAAAGCAATCAGAGCTCATGGTCGACAAGCCGTGGAGAGATTTTTAACTGTTCTGTTACCTAAACCCTTACATATGATTTCTTTATATCAAGCCTTCCCATTGGATTGTCAAGCTAACTTTGATTTTTTTTGTGTGTGTGCGTGTATTCTGTTTCAGGGTGCTACAGGAAGACCAGGACTTCCGGTAAATACTTCATTCTTTCTTTTTTTTGTTCTCTCTTTCTGTCTGGCAATACATTCATCAATAGACCTCCAAGGTTTTTTAAGCAGTGAGAAGGTAGCAATCTCACATAGATTACTAATGAGGAAAAATAGCATACTGCCAACAGGTCATGGCTCCTAACAGTATAGGAACAACAAGAGCTTTGTGGTACCAAAATAGCAATGTAGTCCTTATGAACCCTCCTACATCTGGGATACATTGCTTCTGAAGAAGCCTTTTTCACCTTGAAGTGGTGCAGTGTGCTATTTTCTCACTGATGGGGCTTGGTAATTGCAACAGGGTTTACAAGCCCTTCGTGAAATTCTGCAAATGTGAAAGTCCATGGTAACCATATCTGCACCTGGGATGGTTGTGAGTAAGGAAGGAGCACAGATTTTGGGATCACAGCAGCTTCCTTTCCTGGTGGTGGTTCTTCTATGATGCACAAAGAAACCTCTGCATATACCCAGGAAAAGAGTGAAGTGAATTTCTCTTCTAAAGATTTTAGGCTATGTTCATACACACTGGAAGTGGACAAGGCACAAAGAAGTGACAGCAGTGGGTCCAGTGTCTCCAGCTGCTGAAACTAAAAATCCAGGGAAGCAGCTAGGGGAAAGAGACCACAAAGAAATCACAGACACTGCTGGAAATGGAACTGGGAGGTTATTGTTGTGTCATTTTTACAAAACAGCAAAAATTACATGCCTATTGAAGCCATAGCAGCTGATTACTGCAGGTATCCTTATGACTGTCTTTCAAATCTGCCCAGAGCTGAGTTTTGGCAACCAAGAATGCAGAAAGGGCTGATATTTACTTTTTTAAAAATGTATGAGGTAGAAATCTGCCTTATAGGTAATGGCTGAGGAAAATTGCTGTTGGTCTTATGGTATATGTGTTCATATGTTTATAAGACTCTGTTCAGTGTCATCTGACCCAAAGTCATTCCCTAAACTGCTGTAGGATTGTTCACACCCTGACAATTCACTGAGTAGTATCTCACAAAGGGATAGAGGACACTGAACACAGCCACTCATATGTCTTCTTCCAGACACACTTTTTCCTGTGTCAGCTTGTTTTCCCACATTTTTTTTCTTGCTTCTGGACAGGAGCATACTTTCAAGTCCAAGAGTGATAACTCTATAAATAAATAGCTTACACTAGAGATGACTTGAGTGAAGAAAGAGAAAAAATGTGACACTTGACTACTGCATGAAGCTGGTTCCCAGGACCTGGATTTTGTGAAGTGGAGAAAATTGGAATTAGACTTGGTTAGGTTGAAAAAATCTCTTGCCTTCCTTTTCCTGCCTAAATCATTATATGTTATTTCTGTTGTGAGATGTTCTGGCTTGCCTTACACTCAGGCAAACTGGTGACTTACACAGATTCTTAAAGACAGGTTGGGGTCCCCACAGACATACTTTCTCTATAACTTGCTCTCTTCCTCTCTCAAAATCCCTGGACACTTGCACCGCAGCACTCAGCTGCATCCGTGGCACAGCTCATTTGTGCAGTTTTATGACCTTGCTTTTGGCTGGTTTCCAATTGCCTCTGGTTTTGTCTTCATTGCCAGGGAGACAAAGGCGCAATGGGGATTCCTGGGCGGCCGGTAAGTCAAGACCTCTAGTGTTCCTTGTTCTCCCTCTCCTCTTCCAACCCTGAGATGTCAGAGTACTTCCAGGCTGACTCTGGGATGGTGTCAGCGCGAGGAGAATCACCCCCTCCAAGACCCACACCTGAGGAGGCTCTCCTGGTAGTCAGGAGAAGCTGACGGGGCAGTCAGCCCTGTAAACCACATACATGTGAAGGATGTTTCCTTCCGTTCTGCTAACCACGGGCTTGCTAACATGCACCCCTGCCCACTGCCTACTGCTGCCCTTTCCAAATAACCCTGCCCCAAGCAAAGGGGCCATGCCCTGCCTGGCTGAGCACTGCATTCTAGGACTGCTCTCCACTCAGGCAACTGGGGTTAAGGGTGGGAACGAGGGCTGGGGTGGGGACTGTGGCTGCCCCTCTTGTTCTGGCCCTGCAGCCCGGGTTTTGGGGCAGGGGAGTGTGCCCTTGCCGCTGACGCCTGTGTTTGTGTCTCTTTCTCTTTCTCTCTCCCCTGCACCCTCTTGCATGTGGCTGTGATGGGTGCCACTGACCCAGGGACTAAAAGGGCAACCTGGAGAGAAGGTGAGTTGGCTCCTTGCAGCCCTTAGTATCTCTGGATGCCCTCCTGGAGGGCCAGCCCAAACACCTTAGCAGCAGGCCTGGCCACTGCAGCCAACTTTGGGTTTCCACACCCTGGGATGCCTGCTCTCCCCCAGCAGGGTAAGTTTATCTCCCAAATTCCTCCCAGGCCACTCAGCCTCCAAAAAAGCTGCGTTTCTTGTTTATGACGATTTACTAACAGTGTATGAGTTGGCAGGCACATGCAAGGCTTCCCTCAAGGCTTTCTGGGTGTTAACCACTGAGTTTCTTCTACGCTGGCAGCACTGCTTGCCCTAATCACCCTTGCAGTTCCTCTCTGCCTCTTGGGTCAGTACAATCTCTGCTGTGAGCCACAGCAAGGAAAATGGGATGGCACGCTCCTGTTTCTGACATGGTGGGACTTGGCTTCCACAAGAATAGTGATGATGTGCATTTGAGGTGTGTGAATAACTGGGAATCTGCGGCCAGAAGCAGCAAGTTATAGAAACTAGGAAAAAGATGAATATTCTCCTAGTAGGGTGAATATGGGACACCACCATACCAGAGACATTTGCTCCTTTTCATCAAAGAAAAAAATACAGCAAGGAAGAGTGAGTTAGGATGGAGAGTCTCTCTCCTTGCTTTCAGGCTTCTGCTTGTTCGTTGGAGCCTATAAATGTTATCTAATAGACCAAGGTTTCACTCTTAATTGCCCGTACTTCCCTAAAGCCCTCTGTGAGGTCCTTGGCTGTCCCAGCTTGATTTTGCAGAAAGTTCTGTTGCTTGCAGGCTGCATGGTTTATGGGATGCTCCATCCAACGGCTGCCCTGCCCTGGGCATTTCTGGAGCCGCCTCTCAGGGATACACAGTGCTTTCTAAAGACACAATGTTTCCTGCCCATTGCACATCGTGGGTGGCTAGGACCTGGAGAGCGGCTGTTTGCTTTTCCAGCAAGGGATTTGCTGCTTTCATCCTCATCCCGTCTGAGCTGATATGCACACAAACGAGGCTCTTCCCCAGTGCTGTCAGGAAGCAGCTGACCAGCTGCCCGTGGCTCCCATTTCCCCGGAGCTCACCATATCCCTTCTTCTTTTGTTTCTGGTGCAGAATGTGTGAGAGGCTTCCTGGATATGCAGGTTATCTTGAACTGTGGGAAGGAGAGAGCTCAGCTGCTGTTCTGGCAACTGTTAATTGTTCGTCTCTTATCAGCTGCCTGTTACTGACTTAAGGACTTGTTTCCATGTCCACTTAGTGCAGTTCACGCTTTAAAAGAGAAAAAGCCTTGGGCAAATTGTGCTGCACTTTCACCAGCAGCTTTGAGATTGTCAGTCAAGCAGATAGAGCCCACAGACCTGGCTGGTCCTGGCTCTGGGTCAGCTCTCAGCGCCTGCTTCAAGAATGAAGGCAGCCTGTGCCACTACTGACCCAGCCCTTGCATTGGGGTCTACAGGGCATGTGTGGTGTGGGGGATTATTGCTGCTGGGACTTCTGCACTGAGCCCTAACTGGGCTGGAAATCAGCCCCAAATTCTCCAGCACTTCTTGTGGTGCAGCTTGGTGTAGGAGAGGCAAGATCTCAAGTATTTCTGTATTGGTTTTCAGGTACTAGAACGGTCTAGAATTGATGTTTGTCTTAGGATCTAGCCCAAACTGAATCAGTGTGATACATTGTTAATTATACTGCTTGTCTCCATGGCAGACCCAGTTTCTTCCAGAAACCACAGTTGAGCAGGCCCTTTATTTTCTGGATTCCCCCTTCTCCACTCTGAACACACACTTTATATTGTGCAGCATGTGAAGCTGCTTCAACCTGGAGTTATTTAATTTAGACCTAAACTTTTGCATTCCTGCCCGGTCATGAAGTCTCAATTGACCTATTCATAGAATAGCTAGCTTTGAAGTCAAAAAACATGGCCAGCTCATGTAATCTTAGTCTGTAAGAGAGAACATGGACTTTGGTATGGAGCTCTCCAGCCAGTGTTTCCATATTGCCTACAAAGGACGTTCTTAGAAATGATCACTGGAGAATATTCAGAATCTGTGGGATTTTCTTAGGTTATTTTTCCCCACATGTTTTTGTCTGTTTGCGGAAGACAGGTTGCTTTACAAAGAATATACAGGATGGGCAGAAAGCAGTCACTAAAATGGAGCTGTGTCTGGGGAGGAATGTGGAAAGTGCTTATGAAGTTGCAAACTGTGGGTGGGACCAGGAACTGAGGGTGAGAATTAGCAATGGAAATTACAGAAAAACATTAGTATTCTCTCAAGCTGAAGTTTGACCAGACATATTCTGGCAGCAACGGGGGTTTCAGGCAGTCTTTCACATTTGCAAGGGGGCAGAGCCTGTGTTTTGCCAACAAATGTTTTACACATCTATAATTTTCCTTGCTCACAGCTTCCATTTTTTTGCTGTGTACAGATAGTCCCAAATGACGTCTCTCCTCCCAGAGTGAGCAGGGGGAGGCCAGAATAGCAACTGCCGCATGAGCCCTGACATTCTTATACCTTGAGCAGCCTCATTAAACCTCAGTCTTGATGGAAATGTCATTTTCATTGTATTTTCACCTTTTCTCACCCCTTTTCCTTTCCCCATCTCTCTGCAGGGTGCTCCAGGAGAAGCAGGCATGTCTATCATTGGGCCCCGTGGTCCACCCGTGAGTGACTTTCCTCTATTTTTGACTGATTCAGGATGTGGGCAAGTTACAGGGAAACAAACATTTAGGAGGGGCAGCAATACAGCATCAGCTGGAGAGAGCAAAACCTCTGTATAATGTGGTTCCCATGCTGAGCCAGGCTTGGTTTTATACTGCTATTATATACTATATATAATGAAATTATAGCTCATACTTCAGAACAGACAAAGAAGCCTCGCCTTGCAAGGGAACTATAGTTCTGTATTTGAAAGGAAAAAAACATATTTCCTTCTTGCAACAGGACCAATCCTGTTTTTGAGGAGAATGTGCAATTTGCCTGGCTGATCTCAGCCTTTGGTTTCATTAGTGAAGGACAAACCCCCCTGATTTTGCAGAAGAGCAGGATCAGAGCTAAGCTGGTGGCTAGAGAACTCACAAAAATGGATAGATCAGAGTTGTCCAGAGGTCCCTGTCAGTACCCAAAGCCTTGGAAACTCTTTGCCAGTGTAGTTACTGAAATCTTGAAAACCCCTTTGTTGACTGGGGAGCAGAGGAAAGGCAAGGAAGGATTTTGCACCCCACTCCAGCAAAAAGCAAGAAGTCAGCTAGACAAAACTTTTTGCAAGTGTAGGGTCAGTAAAAACAGGCCAGCACTGTACTAAGGGCTGGAGCACTTATGTGAGCTAAACACTGGATGTTTCTTGCTCTGCAGTTCAGCCATCAAGCCTCTGCTTTTGTGCAGATGCAGCCAGTCCTCCTCACTCCATCCCTGTGCAGCCTTCTCTGGAGATTTCCATGAGAAAAGACCCAGGGACTTAATTCTCTCCCTCCCTCTGGGCACTTCCGATTTTGATTAACCTGTGAAGAGCACTGTCCTTGACCTGCCAAGAGGATGGGCCGCTGGCGACTTTTGTTTCACAGCAGAGGTCAAGTGAGAGAGACCTAGGCAGCACGAATGCTTGGCTACATCTGGCTTTCCAATTAGCTTTCCAAAAGAAGAGTTTCTAATAAGTAACAGCTTTGTGGGCTCCCAGGCCCACCTGCGCGGCACACTGGAGTTTGGAAGCAACAGAACTGAAGCAAAAGAATTTCCTTAAGCATTTGTTACACAACAGATCAGCCCTGGTCACTTGGCCAGGTGAGGAGGGTGGGCTGATGGGTTCCTCCATGCTAATCTCTGAGAAAAGCCACCCAGTGCCACAAGCAGTTTTTGGAGGGTAAGGGCTGCACATTTCGAAACCTAGTGGTTCCCATCAATGTAGGACCTGCAAACGTAGCTGGGCACTGCTCTTTCCCTGAAGGACACGTGCCTAGTCTGCAAGACAGACTTAATGTCTCTTTCAGTGCAGCCTCATTGCCTTTACTGCCATTTGGGAAAGCAGAGAACACGTTGCACCTCAAAAAAAAAAAAAAAAAAAATCCAAAACAACCAGAAAATGTAGATGGCAAGTGATTTTAAGAGGAGTTTTTGCCTAATTTGGTCAGAGCCCTGAGGTGCGAAGAGTGGGGCAGCTCCCTGCTTCCCCCCCATAGCCCTTGTGAAGATGATCCCATTTCCAGGGGAGCTGGTGGTAGGTCAGAAGGATGGCTGAGCACCGAAGACAAACACAGGAACCCCAGCCAAGAGGTCACTTGGGAAGATGTGGGATGAGAAATAGTTTCCAGATTTTCATTTGAAGGTTAAAGTTTTTGCTCAGAGCTGCTTAACTCCTGGCCAGAGAGGGACAGTGTGCCGATAGTGGCAGAAACAGATGATCTCCATGATTTGGCAGCTCCCGGGATTACATACTTCATAGGATCAACATCTTAAAAAGACAAGGAAAAACAGCTACCCAACAAAAACAGACTCTTGGAATCACTCACTGCTGAACTGTTGTTTTGGCCTGATACCGTGCAAATCACTCTGCTGTCCTCCAAGGAGAAAGAGGCAACAGTCTGCAGTCTAGAGAGGAAGCCAAATTGCACCATTTCCAGATTTTCTCCTTAATTCTTTTTTTAGCACTTCTTGTCTGAGGAGACTTCCAGCAGGGAGCCAGAATTAATGAATTGCGGCTAGGCTCTACTTGATTTTCGCCTTTTCAGAAAGCAGTGGTGGACAAATCCTTTAATTTATAGCCTATCTTCCTTCCTGGTCACTGGCCAATGGGACCAGGTGGTTTTATATGTATCTTGCAATGCAAAGCAAAGTTGACCAAGTTCAACTTAGCGAAACTAAGAAAACAGTGCAAATGTAATCAGGTCCTGCTAGCACTGTGTATAAAAACAATTGTTTGGTGCAAGTCTAGGCACTCTGTGGTAGGGGCAGCCCTCAAATTGTGCAAAGAGGTTATTTATCCTCAGCAGGACTGAGTCCCCACTGAGCCTCTCTGCAGGGGCAGGGAAGCTGGGAGAGATGTAACCTGAAGATCTTACCTCTCCTGGTGACGAGGCTATGAGCTCTCTCCCAAGGGGACAGCATTGCTTTGCTATGGCAAACCTCATCAGCACCTTGCAGCCGGGCCAACCTGTACTGTTCTTCCCCTTCCTTCAGATTGCTCTGGTTGAGGTGAAAAAGCAAACTCTTTCTTATACCCACATCTTTCCTAGGAGACAAAACATACAATAACAATCCTCAAGTAAACTGGTTTCTTTACTGGATGCTCAAAGACCTAGGGTATCTGTGTCTTGGGATGTCAGAGAAGAATTATGCAAAGAACCATTTCCTCTTTTTCTTTTTTGTTTCTACCCCCACCTCTCACCTTCCCCAGTGTGTTTAAGTGAGTAATGTAGAAGCTATTAAATACATTGCAAGTGTTTACTATAACTATTCTCAAAGTGGTAGCCAGCTCTGGCTAATCAGAAAAAGGCAAGGGTAAAGAACTTGGGGCTCACATTCCTTATAACGCCACTCCTTTTTCTCTTAGCTCTTGGATGAGAAAAAGCAGCCAAAGAGAAAAATCGTATCTTGGCCAGAATTATTTGTGAGGAAAATGAATGCACTGGGACATGACACAGGGGAGGGAGGAGACGAGGAATGGCTGTATTTAGACACCAGTGACCTGCAAGGTTTGTCTTGCACAGAGCAGCATCCTGCATTAAACGCCTCCGGTTTATGGCAGCAAGAATTGCCATAAAATGAGCTCAGCCTCTGGAACATAGTCCAAACGGCTCGTGTATGGGCTAGGGACACCCATATAATTAATGGAGAAACTTCAAGGAAACTGCTTGCAGTCCAAACTGGACCTGCTCCAGCATTTTCCTGGCCCTGTATAAATTGGAGTGGGAATGTGAGATTTCCCCTTCTTCCCCAGCCGCATTCTCCTTGGAGGTCTTGGGTAACTTTCTCTATGGGTAACTATGGGTATTATTGGGTAACTATGACTCTTTGGAGAGTCATAGGATAAAGGGGCAGAGGCTAGAGAAAAAGTTTCATAGACAGAACTTAGGGTCCATAGGAATCCCCGTCAGTTCCTCTAAGCTGCTATCTCTGTTTCATCCTTTCCAGGGACAGCCTGGAACAAGAGGTTTTCCTGGATTCCCGGTAAGTGTAACTGCTAGATTGATGAGGTACGTGTGTGTGGTATTACTATGAAGTGTCATTAGTGCTTGCTGTACCTTATCATCTGTCTGATGCCAAGGATCTGATCTGATACTCCTGGAAAAAGTAATTTTTTCTTCATTTGCTTTCTTTTTTTTATGTTTCTTTTTTTCTTTCCTTTTTTTTTTTTTTTTTTTTTAAATTTTAAGTGATGCTTAGGGAAAAAAAAAACAAAACAAACTAACCGTAGTATGCTAAAAGGAAATTAATTTAAAAAAACAAAAACATAAGTGTTAAAATAACATAGTTGAAGCCCAATCGGTTTAGTAAAAGAAAACCATCCTGAGAAAATACTCCCCAAACAAAGAAAATAACCCTTGGGTACGTGAAATTCCAACCTTAGTTGAGCTTTTAGGTGATTTTGTAGTAGCAGTGAGCATCTGAAATCCAAACAGGGCCCCATGTGATGGAGTTCGGATGGGAACTGGGTTGAACACTATGGTGGTGCCAAAGGGAAAGAGCAAAAAACACAAGAAGGGGGGGGGATTTTTCTCCAATGTGAAGTTACAGATGGGTAAGGGAATGAGAAACAAGCCTAAAAGAGGACAAAGCACATTTCATTTCAGCTTTACAGTTGCTGACGACGCTCTGTGGAGCATCAAGGCTGCTGGAAAACTCAAACGGTTGCTATTTATTCTTATGCATTTCTCCCGGACAGCTAGGAAGCCTAAGGCAAATACAAACAGCCCTGGCTCCTGTCGAGCAGCTCAAGCTGCTGCTCCAGGACACACGATGTGCCAGAGCAGGTCTTCAGAGGAGGCTCTGGCCTGGAAAACAGGAGGAATTGGCCACTGCTGAGCCATCTGACCAGACTCCGCAGCTCTGCCCTTTGTGAGAAGGGGGGCTGTGAGCTGCCCTGAGGCTGAGGAGAAGCAGATCTCTCCTGGCCCTTGTGGTCTTTGGCTTTTGGAGCAGCAGAGAACAAATCAGCCCAGCTCATGAGAAAGCGTCAAGTGGGACGGCGCTCCATGGGGCCTGTTTTTCATCATATCGTACCTTCAAAATGCTGCTGAGCTCTATGTCACTTCTTCCCTGGCACACTTTTATTATACTGTCATTTGCAAAAATTCCTCTTTTCCCAATGATGGTTGCCTTTTGAAATCCAAATCTCCAGATAACCGTGGTGATTTTCAATTAATTGATGAAATGCTGCAAAATTTGAAATGCTGAGGGTTTTTTTTTCCTGCAAATTGCCAGTGGATAATCTCTCCTGCATCCCCTTCTTGTGTCCAGCTTTGCTGCTGAAATGGGCTGACAGTGAGAAGGTCCCAGCAGAAGCAATCAGGAAGCTTGGGTGGTACCCATCTCTGCAGTTTTGTGGCACATAGTTTTTGCTGGGGCAGGTGGACAGATGGCCAGGTGAAAGCATTTCTCATTTTTTCTCCTCTTTTTTTTTTTTTTTTTTTTTTTGTTTATTGTTTTCTTTCAGGGTCCTATTGGCTTGGATGGCAAACCGGTAAGCAAACAGCCTCTCTGGAGGCTTTGTGCCCTGCCACCTGCCAGGTCCCACTCTCCTACCAGCCTGCATGCGACAGAGTATGTTTTTAAGAGGATTATTTTGCAGTGTCATGCGCGTGCATGGATTAAATGAAAATCAGAAGGTTGGCAGGCAGGTGGATGCCACAAATGCCTTGGGGGAGTTGCAGGTGGTAAGAGATTAGGGGGAGAGAGTGTGGCTGCTTCCTTTCTGGGCAAACCTATGAACCAGCACCTCACAAGGACAGCAGCCAGCCTGCTGCAGGGAAAACCTCAGTGTTTTTGGGTGTTGGGGAACAATGTAATGTTAGTCATGTGAGCAAAGCTCCATACGTGTGGCGTTGCATCTCTCTTGAGAAATAATAATGGCTGTGAGTACCTCTCAAGGCAAGGGGTAAGCAGGTAAAGCAAACATCTTTTAAAGGTTGCGGTGGCTGAAGCTGAGAGATGTTTTCTTTCTTTTGCAGGGTTATCCTGGACAGAAGGGGGAGATGGTAATAACAACAGCAAAAATTATATATGCTAGTGGTTGATGGATTGGTTTGAAATGGCATTGCCTCTCAGCTAGAAATAAGCTTGTAGGCAGACTAGTGGTCTTAGCTTCAGCTAATGGTCTAGCTACGTACCTAATTCTGTAACTTCATTGCAGTGTGGACATGCACGCCTGTAATCTTTACATTATGGCTATCAGATTCATCATGTCACAACAGCAACTCTGTAGTTATGCATGGGATATGTTTTCCTCACAGTTAGCAATTATGTTCTTTAAATATGCTCCGGGAGCTGACATTTTTTGTGGTTGGCCTCATAGCAGAAGTAAAAATTGATGGAAAGTTTTTTGAAAACCCATCTGGTGGCTTTCAACTTACCTAACAAAAAAAGTGTATTATTTGTTTTGAACGCTTTTCTTTCCCCTCTTGAAGGTCTGTTTCATTTGTGCATCATACCAAAATGCTTTCATTTGGGAATGATAAACTTGGGTTATTCTTCATGGGAACCCAAGTGTGATCTTGTTTCTCTCAACTTCTCAGATGATGAAATCCCCAAACATGAGCACACCAAGGTAGCAGCTCTGTAGTCAGATTTGCTCAGTGAACTGCTGGATGTTTTCTTCTGCAAATTCTGTTTCTGGAGCCCAAGAGTCAGTGTAGCCCTCTGGCAAGCACATGCTCCCTGGCAGAGGGTGAGCTGCCATCCCTCAGTTGCACAACCCTAGCTCAGGCTTCAGTCCTGGCTGCTGCTTGTTCGATCCCAGTGCGTCAGCCAAGGAGACGTGCTGTCAGCTGAGGTCCAGGGAACAATGAGGGTGTGTTTTCCTGATGTTTTTTCCCCCCCTCCTTTTAATAAATCCCCCCCGTGGTGCAGCCAGAACATATGTGCATTTTTACTCCTCCCGAGTAACACACGGCACCCAGAGCTCTCTTGGAAACTGTTCTCCACAAAAGTTTGTAAAAACGGAGGTTCCACCTACTCTCTATACTGAAAGCTTTTGTAAACCCATCTTGTATTCATGACTATGTGTTTCTTTAAAGGGTGCCACAGGTCCCAGGGGACAGCCTGTAAGTACCCTTTCTTTTGTGTTTGTACCTCCCCCATCCCTTCCCTCTTGCATGTACAGAACCTCTCCTCTACCGAGAGCCTATAAAAATCTCATCTCTTTTATAGGGACCCCCAGGACAAAAAGGGGAAAAGGTAATTTTAAAGGGCAATATGCTGAAAATTGAATGTAAAAAAAAAAAAAGAGCAGAGAAGTGGGCTGGCCTGGTGCTGCTCCGTTTGTCTTTGAGTGACTGAGAGATACAGGAAAAGCAGAGGGCTGCGGGGTCAGTGGGTGGGAGGTAGGCTGCTTATCGAGTGCAAATTGGCATAGTCTCACTGAGTTCAATAGAGCCACCATGATTTACACCTTGAGGATCTGCCCTCCAATGTCTATTTTGGTTCTCTCTGTTCGTGGTTTAAACTCTTTCCTTTTAATCCCCTTCTTACACAGGGTCAGTGCACAGAGTACTCCCACAGGGTAAGTCATTAGCGTTATTATCGTCTGTCCTGTGCCTTCCTGAATGTTAATCCCCCTTTCGTTTGAATGGCTTTTTGTTGGAAATATAGATCGTTTCATGAACAAGATGCGTCACCCGGGCCTGAGAGCAGCGCTCGGCTGATTGATGTGTTTCACAGAAAAGCTGCAGATAAGGACTTCCAGGAGGGATCTTGGCTCTCCTCTCTCTTCCTGCCCACTGGGGCTGACCCCAAGCTAAATGTTGTCATTGCTTCTTTCTGGAGAGCCTCAGTGCTGCAGCATGGGGGGGTGAAGGTTGGTGTCTTCACCCTCAAACTCAGTGAAACCTGAAGTTTCTGTAGGAGAAGAGAGCACCGGCTCAGTCCCACTTCCACAGTCTGCCATGGGAGGACTGGTGGCAGCAGCCTTTTAACGAAAGCCAGGCTGTTGCCCCCTTGCCTCTGTGTCCTGGCGTGGCCAGCATGTACTGCAGCCAAGAGAGGAGAGTACATCATGGAGTTTGAGGGGATTACAGAAGCAGAATTTAACCAGCTCAAAAAACAACTGGAGTGCTGAAAATCCACTGGAAATGCGTTGGAACAACATCATATGAAGTGGCTGGAATTTGTAATCTGGGTGTACAGGGAGACAGGCTTAAGGGCTTTCTGTTTATTTTTGATGAGCCTCTGGACAATTAGCTGGGCTCTGGTGCCTGTCCCCAGGGGAGCAAGGCCCTGGATGCTCTGCGTAGTGGAGGCAGGAGCACGATCTCAGCTGGCAGCAAGAGAGATGGGAGCTGTGGGCAAGTGCCAGCGTGGGTACAATAATAGCAGGTCAGCTGTGTTTATTTAGGTGAGCCTGCTCACTAGATCGTTATGTTAAAAAGAAGCTAACAACAGTGTTTGCCCAAGTGGTGTCCTGGATTCTTGTTACAATCTTTGACTCCTGCCTGTCCTCAGAGCTCAAGGTGAAAAGCAGGCATGGAACCGGCAGCAACACTGCAAAGCAAAGGTGCCGGTTGTGCATCACTGGGAGCAACCTGAGGCTAGGGCACACCGGTTTGGTGGGCTGGGCTGTAGGCACCCTTGGGTGATGTCACAGGGCTGGGACAGCAGGGAAGAGGTTGATGCAAAGGCTCGCGTCCCAGCAAAGCCTTGGTGATGCCTCCTTGGCTTTGCTGGGGTGCTGAAGCAGCAAGCTCAGCACTCTAAGAAACCCTTGGGTCCTTCCAAGGCAGAGATGTGCTCATGGGAAGAGTGGTTGCCACTAGATCAGCTCTAGGGTGGGTTATCCTGGAGTGTGAGGCCATAGGCTGCAAGGCTGGGGCTAGTGGTGCAAGGCAGCTCAAAGAGTTGCAGTTCCTTGTCTTCCTCCCAAAATCAAAGTGGGAATGAGCCTTGCCGTACATGTGCCCCACATTTGACTGAATTGCAATTTCTTGTTTTATTGGTTGATGAATACTTTTGTCAGTTTTTTTTGTTTTTTTTTTTTTGGGGGTGGGGGGGGCAAGGAGGTGAAAACCAACATCCTGAAAAGCCAGAGATGTTTGTTTTGTTAGGTCTTTGTTTTCTTAGGAAGGAAATGTAAGGTTAGGATGTATGCCTTGGCTCATGTTGTAGTTTCCTATTTTTCCTTCTGTATGGCCTGTGGCTCTGCAAGAGATGATCCCAGGCAGGGGGCTGCCCCAGAATGCCACCCGGGGCTTAGCACTGGGAGGAGAGGAGCAGCTACACTCTGTCTGCTCTCGAAAACAGCATGTGTTTCACTGATCCCCTGTTGTGTGTCTTCCCTATCCCCTAGGACTACCTAAGTACCACCCTTGCAGCCCTGCGCTCTAACCAGATCCTTACACTGAAGGTTTGTGGGTAACGGTCTGATGGAACAGTGCTGATGCAAAGGCACAAGGCATCCAATATTGCGCGCTCCTCTTTACATTGGGTCCAGAGGGGCAGGGCTGGCTGCAGGAGGTGTCAGGCTCCTTCTGTAAATGATCCTACTTGCACCCAAGTCCATTGTTAGATCTTGTTTGTTTTTGGAAGGGCTCATACTGCTTCCCTCCATTTTCCCCTTCATCTTTTTCCCAGTCCTCCCTCTGCTTCCCTGTAAGCTGTGTAATATTTCAGAATCAGTGTATTCAAACACGGCCACCTGAGCACAGGGTGGCGATGCTGCAATATTGGATGGCCATTTCTCTTTGCAACAAGACTGTGTCCTAGCTTTTGCTGCCAGAGCAAGGAGTGGCATTTAAAGGGACTGAACAGCACTGCTGGGGTGCGCGGTCATTGTGGTGGGAGACCTGCAGGCAGACCTCTGGGATCCAAGCACAGCTCGTGTGGGGAACGGCTGCACACAGGGGCACAGGCTTTTTTGCTTGAGCACAGAATGCTCCTTTCTCTTCTCCCTGTGTAAATCGAGAACAGCTTCAATGGAAAACTGATAGGAACAGGAAAGCGGATCAGGCCGGAGGAGCATTCCTGGGCCTAGAGCTGCCGTGGTGACTGCCAGGCTGACAGCAGCGTGTATGCAAGTGGAAACTGGATACTGCAGGAGGATGAACAAATGCTCCTGAGCTTTAGTGCATTTGATTGCTGTGTGTCCGGGTCAGCTTTGTGCACTGGGGCAGCATTCCTGGCTATAAGCAGTTGGAGGCTGCTGTTACTGTTAAGTGAGGAAAAGCAAAGTGCAGGCTACCAAGGCAGTACCCTGCTCAGGGCTCAGAGACACCGAGTTCTTGTCTTCTCCCTTGGCAGTCTTCATGTTTCCAAATGGACTAGCACTCTTGTGTTGGCCCCGAGCCCTTCTGCTGACCCCAGCCAGCCATACTACCAGCTGCACCCCGGGGAAGGGTGAGGCCCCCGGATACTTTCTTGTAAGGGAAGAAGGAAAACAATGTGAGAGCACACTTGGAAAAATCTTGGAGAAGATGAGCTTTTTGATAGCTGTCTCAGATCTGATGATGAGAACTGAAGAGCAGAGCCAGCGTGGGGGTGTCATGCAATAAACATTGCCTGGGAGTGGAGCTGAGAAATCCCCTGGGTGAGCTCTCTCTGAGCAGAGGAAGCTGTAGCAGCTCTGTGCTGCAGGCCCTGGTTGGCTCGGGCTGGTGGACAGCACATCCCCAGTGAGCAGTGCATGGTGCACAGGAGCTCGGAGGTCTGCCGGCAGGTACCCGTACCACGTGCGGCTGCACGCAGTTGTTGACTTTCACAGCAATCTCTCTGTTCCCCTTTTCTCTGTTCTCTCCCCCGGCTGCTCTCTGACTCTCCATGCCCTAATGGTCTCCTTTGCCCTGTGACCTTCTGGTTTGATCTCCAGCTGTTGCCTCTCCTCAATTCAGTGCGGCTGGCTCCACCTCCGGTCATAAAGAGACGCACTTTCCAGGTAGACCTCTCCTCCTTGCCTATGTCTAAGTCTATTCTGATGCTTGTGATTAATCAGCTTACTACTTGTCTGTCTTTTCCTACAAAGGGGCTTCCAAGGGGCTTGGGCAGAGCTGAGCGATGTTGTTTGAAGTGGAGGAAATCTTTGATGTGATAATGTGGCTAAAAAGAAACACAGCAGAGCCAGTTCTTAAGTCTAAAAGAAATGGGCCATGAAACTGCAGCCAGGACTGTTGACAAGCAATCTCCTACTTTGCAGAGTCAGGTCCTGCATATTCAATCTCTAGAAGAGGTTTGGAAACCTCTTGCTGAAATGTAGCTGATGTCTGTAAAGTTTAACCGAGAAGAATGAATAGCAAACACTTCTGAGGGCTAGTCTGGTCTGAGATGCTGGGGAAAGCGTGTTTAAATAAGCTTTTATAATTATTTCATTAAATTGCATTAAATCTTGGTGTAAACACATTTATTTTGGTTTTCAGGGCCATAACTCATGTTTATTTTAGTTATTTTGGTAATGAATTCATAAAATGAATTACGGTCGTATGAATAGTGAGTAAGAGCATCCATAGTCAGAGTTCATGTGGCTTTTAATGAGCCCACTAGAAGCATCCCTGTTCCATCAATTGGGATGGACTTTCCTGTGCGGATAAACTGCTGTAATTACCACACTGGAGTGTGCTGGGCACCCTTTATGAAGTGGCTGGTTTTTGTCACCCCACTGTCTGCACTGCCAGATGCTAGCAGGGCACTGCAGTGCCACGAGGTGCCTTCCCAGCGCTGTGAGAAATCCTGGTGTTATCACTTGAGACTGTGCTCTCAGCCCAGTTCCTATCAGCTCAATGTTCACACTGCATAAAGCCCCACAGCTTGCATGGGTTGGCCTTCAAAGTAACAGTCCGAAGAGCCATGCCAAGGGCTGACCTCTTGGGAAGGCTTTGAAAGCCGAAGTTCCTATCCGGGATGAAGTGGGAAAGTTGAATAGCTGCCCCGTGTCTTGTCATCAGCCAGGGGTGCAAATTCCCTCCATCCCCAGAGGCCAGCTTCACTAGAGAATTTTGCTGTGATGTTTTGCTGCTGCCTTATTCATTCTCTAAGTGAGACAAAGTGTAAACCACTCCTACAGATCTGCCAGCACCAAGCAATTCCAGGAGCTCGACATTTGAATACTAAGAAAAAACACAAGGCTCTAAAGTAAATGCTAGTGCTTGAGGGAAGAAAATCCTGCTGCTACCTCTGAGCACGTCAGCAGGAGCCCTTTGTGCATGGGCTTGGACTGAGCAAAGGCTGTGTTAGGAGGCTCCATGAGCATTGCATTGCTGAAGCACAATGAGGGTGACCAAATGGCGTTTTAAAGAGCTGAAAAATGGCTTCAGGCAGCAGCTAAAAATACAGAATGACATCTGATGACTGTGACACCTGATATCCAACTTACAGTACCCACTTACAGTCCAGATAGATCTGTGGGGTCTTTTCATGCTGAATGCATTAATAAGAACATAATGATGTGGCGATAACATTTTGTGTGGTTAGGGATTTGTGTGGATGGGCACACACTTAGACACACTGTGCTATGCTAGATGCAGCTGAACAAAGGCAATGTGAATGGGGCTTGGTGAGTCCCCACTGGTGCTCCCATGCAGGGGCTTCTGCTCCCCTCATCTCCCTGACCTCTGCTAGGGGGACAGCACACATTCCCAGTAATTGAACTGCTCGTAAGCCTAGCCCACACCTTGGAAATTTTCTTCCAAATAGAGCTCATGGCAGAAAGGATGAAATCTGCACCTTATTTCTTTCATGTAGAATTCTAAATAAAGCAGACGTCCCTGTATCTCCTTGTTTTACTACGGGCAGCCAGGATAAACAACACCATGGTTAGGAACACATGCAGGGGACAGATTTTATGCCATGCACACAAGGCTGCATGATGGCAGCCTTGGCTCTACCCAGCAGCAGCACCGAGAGCATAAATGCAGCAGAGACTCAACCACATACCCGTTGATTTACAATTGAAAAATCACCATGTTTGATTTCTAGCTTTCTGTGGAAGAAGAGTTTTTCAGATGGAAGCAGGATGTTGTGATATTTTATCTGGGCAGGGCAGTTTGTGAGACAGCAGCCTAGCGTGGGTGCCATGGGGCCGTAGGAGTTTGCTGGATGCATCAATTATAGATCAGCAGTCTGGTATTCAGTGTGGCGCTTCCAACCCACTGTCTCCGCACTGCCGCTTAGTCCTGAGTGCTGGTCCTTTGGGCCAGATGGCATTGCTGAGGGATGAGCCACAGCCGCTGAGTGGCTACTGAGGGGCCTGGGGAGGAACCGGCTGGAATGGCTTTCCTTGGAGAGCTTAAAATGGCAGGTGGCTTTGCACGCACTCCCTTGTTAAATCTTACAGAAACAGGCTCTGCCTGGCCGACATAGGCCTGCTTTGGGCGAGCTCCAGAAATGCCATGATGATCATGTTATTTTCTTACGGTTTTGTGGCATTTCCACTTTTGGTCCATGGAAAAACAGCAGGAGCGTTGCCCAAAAAATAGAGCGCAGGGGGAAAAAATAGGCTGAGGTAAGATGCTGCGGCTTTGCCAGGAAGTGCCAGCGTGGTCACGAGAGGCTTTGCTTCACATGTGACTGTCAAGTGCTTTGGAGAGCCTCTTGAGAAGCCCAAGAAATGTTGGCGTTTGACATGCAAAGAGTTTGGGCTGCTTGCCTACCTGTCGATCGCTTGTAAGCAAGCACTGAGAAGGTGGTCTTGGATGTCTTTGCAAAATGTGGGGTGCTGGCTCCTGGGCAGCCAGGCTGTCCTTGGCAGGTCTCTGCCTCGCTCTTGGAAGCCTCTCTAGGCACTAACCTGGGACTTTTCTTCTGCCTCTTCTGCTTTGGCCACGCTCACCTGCCTTGGGCTCTTGTGGTGGTAGTGTGTTGAGTTGGCTCTGCCTGCTGGTAATCCTTCTTTTAACAAACCTCAGGGTGAACAAGGACAAGCAGGAATCCAAGGTCCTCCGGGGCCACCCGGCCCGCCAGGGCCCACAGGACCAGCTGGACCCGAGGGAACCCCAGGAGTGCCCGGACCAATTGGGCCACCTGTAAGTCCAATTACAAAAAAGCCTTCAGCTTCCTCTTTCCTTAGGGTGCACACAATTTCCTCTGGTCTTTGCTGCCTCTTCTGAAGCCAGACAGCCATGGACAGGGGAATGGCAGGGAAGATGGGTGTGCAGGGAGGAAGAAGTTCCCAGGAAAGCCCTGCACCGTTGATAGCTGTTCACACATATGTGAGTGGGTCACACCATCCTCGTTTCCTCCTCCCTCTGGCTGTCTGCAGAGGAGGAGAAGTAATACACAGGGTGTAATTATCCTACTTGCAGCAGAAATCCGGCTGATAAAATCCCTGCCATCCCTTTGAAGTCCTGCTCCTGCCCTATTCTCAGGCGTGTAGCAAGCAGTCAAGGAGGGCAAAAAGTAAAGCACATTTTAAAATACAATCTATTGCTAAACAGCAGGGGGTAGAGTGCTAACATACTTCTCTCTTGCAACAGGGCAGAGCTGGAGAACCTGGGAAGCCTGGCAGAGATGGAAAGGTGGGTGCCAGAAACCAGCTCTGCTCTTGGAGCTTTGGGGAGAAGTGTGATGTGCTGGCCCTGCAGTGGCTGCAGTGTGGAAGGAGTTTTCCATCTGTGAGAGATTTCAAGGCCTTTTAGAAGAAGGAGCCAGTGTTGTTCCCTGAGACAAAACCGCTTCTCTACATGTAATAGTTTCAGGTGTCCTCATCTCTCTTTGAGCTCTAAGGAGCCATGGATGTGATGAATAAACATTTGAATTGCTATTGTCAGGCAAAATCAGGTGTAGTGGAGGTATCAGAGCCTGTGTAAGGTAGTTTTCTCCTCTGGTCTGCACACATCAGGAAGGCAGCTCCTGTATGGATCTTTTGTATATTTATATTTGCACTCACGCATATCCGGTGTTCTTCATGGTTCGTATCAGGTAAATTGTTTGGTTATTTCTCATTTGAAAACACAAGTGGTTTGTTTGTTAATATATTCTCTCTATTTAGCTAGTCAGAGGAAGCTGCCAACCCCTGATTTACTCCAGAGCTGCACAGCGGGCTGTGAACAAGTTTCCCAAGCAAAGCCAGAGAGACAGGAAAGATTCTGGGGCACAATGCATGAGGAGAAGCAGCTTTTCAGTCTTCAGATTCAGAGAAACCAGGCCTGGGAGAATGGAGCATTATGCACATGAAATAATGAAATGGAATTTGAGAGCGTGGGTTAGAATAGTATTTATGTGAAGAATAGATCAGGGATGTTTGAACTCATTGCTGCAAGTCATCTCTGTAAAGGGGCATTTCAAACCAAAGGAGTCAACATCCCCCATCACTTTGCATAGCATTGTCTACATTTGCCAACTCCAGTGTCTGTTTTGATTTTATTTACAGGGCTTACCTGGGCCTCCTGGACCAAAGGTGAGACATCTGGCCTCAATTTGAGGAGCAAAGTGATGAACAGAGAGGTGGAGTCTCACAGCACGGAGAGATGTGTAAATTGTGGAAGGTGAAAGACAGAGAAAGGAGGTTACATCATATAGCTGAGAAAGATTTCTAGCCCAGCTCTGTATTGGCCAGGGGGGCCAGCCTGCATGCTGACTCATGGGTTTTGTCCTGGCAAAATGTCCGAGTTGCATCTGAGCAGAGTAAGGCACGCCTCATCAGCCCCTCTTGCAAAATTCTTTGCCACACACAGCTTTATTGGCTTCTTCCACTCTCAAAGCGTTTACCAGCGCTTCAGGAACCGATTTTGCAATGCTATTGTTAACTCTACCGCAACTTCCCATTTATTCACTTGCCAAAATGTGAGAGTGGGGGGGTAGTGGTGGTTGTTTTTCAGCTGCTGCTGCCCACCTCCCTTTTTTTTTTTTTGAGATACTTCACCAGGGTGAGGAGATAGGAACCACAGAGCTGGAGCATGGAGCTAGCATGAGTTACCTGGCTGCTGGTGCTAATTGTGCCTTTCCTCCTAGGTTTCAGTCACTGTAGGTAAAAGGGACCTAGAGTCTGAAGGCTCTGGGACTCGGTGGAGTCATTTTGAGCTAAAGGCCTTGTGGAATGGCCCCAGGGGACAGGGCAGGGATTTATTCTTCTCAGGCCAAACATCATTTTATTTTGTCTTTTTACCTTTTGCAGGGAGACCCTGGGATTCAAGGATACCCTGGCAGAAAGGTAAGGGGGTAGTTCCAATACTGCTAAATGAATTAAGTTGCATTGACGTCTTGTGGGATGACAGCTGCAAATCTCTGGGCTCCTCTGGAGCTCCTTGCTGAGCTCTTTCACTGGACCAAGGGCTGTTGCGGGTCCATGGATCCCCTAATGCTCACCTGTGTAAGGAAAGTTGGGACCCAGAGATGTCTTTAACCCTCTGGCAGCAATAATACAGATTTCTCCCTACCCATACCCACTTCCAGACTTAGATCTAACTATTATACTACTAGAAGGGGCCAAATCTTGGCTATGTATGACTTGAAAGTTGATCCTTTCCCTGGTTAAAAGGCAGAAGCTGGCATTGCCTGCTGGTCTGCAACAGCAGCTAATTAACAACAGTGTTGAATCAAGTCTGGAGGGTGTAATGGAGAGACAGGGAGACGGGGGAAAGCGTGAAGGAAGATCAAAGGGGAAAGAGGGAATGAAGAGGTATTGCTAAAGGGATGTCACTGGGAAAAGGGGAAGGCAAATGCTCCCAGCAGGCAGGAATGCCATGTTATCTCTGCACTGCTTTATGAGTGCTCTGTGGGCAAAAAGGCAAGATCCGAGAGTTTTTTAATTAGTTCTGTACAAACCAAGAAGGTTTTGTTATGTTAGGAAGTAGAAATTATAGCCCCCGTGGACCACAGCCCACTCCTGCAGACAGACACAATTTATTGCCTTCTCTTGCAGTGAACCATCCGTCGGTTTTTCCATTCAGAATCCATCCTGTTCTGAGCGTGCTGGGCGGGTAGCTCTCAGTGTGTGGGGGACAGCAAGGGGGTCCCTGTAGTGACCTCATGGCGAGGGCCTCTCCTTAGAGCTCCTCTCACACAAAACAACTTGCCTGGCTCATTTACTCGCTGAGAAAAGGTTCTCAGGAGAATGAGCCCAGGGTTGCAACCTTCCTCTGGCAATGTGGAAGGAATGGATGAAAGTAGGGAAGAAAATCCTTCCTTGGTGTGTGGGTCAGGGAAAGGGACAAGAAGGCAAAGAGCTGAGCAAAGATGTTAGCTCTGATACAGTGCAGGTCTGTGGGATCATTTCCTTCAAGTCACACTTTTTGCATACTGAACACCTTTCTTGATGCAGAATGGTGCTCCTGCCCTGGTGAAACCCGGAGGGGAGGTTGGTGTGTGGTGGGCACTTCAGTGTAGGACATCCCTCTTCTGTTTTTTCTGACCTGGGCATCCCATGTGCTCTTTTTTTTTGCTCATCACTGTGTTTGCTGCTTTCTCTGTTTCCTTTCTTCTCTTCCTCAGGGTGAGGCGGGCATGTCAGGCCTGCCTGGTGCGCATGGCCTCCCTGGAGCTACTGGCCCCAAGGTAACTCTTAAACATGGCACCAGCGAGGCTGTCTCCCAGGGGCAGATGAGTGGCACAAAGCCTAGAGATGCTAAAGAAATACAGTGAGTTAGGGCTCAGGTGCAGATTCTCTGTAGCAGAGTGCAAGCTGAGTGAACAGAGACTTGCTCCTGTGTGAAAGGTCTGGAGGATTTTTGGCCAGAGCAATTCCCCACTGTCCTGAACCAGGACAAGGATTAGCCCTGCACAGGCCCCTGTTTAAGAATAAATCTGACCCAGCTTTTAGATGGTTTTATGTTAAGGCTGGGTCTGCTCCATGAAACAGCTTGATGGTTGATTATCCTACATCCAAAATATGTAGGAAGCATTAGCATGGACTATCTCCAGCATCCACTCCAGCAAGGTGCACTGCCTTGCAGTTCCCAGGGAGGAATGGGTTACAGCCCATGTTGAGACTAGTGTTGTGGTCTCTCTAGAGACCTGTGCTTGCCTTTATTACATAGTCCCTTCTTTGGCAGTTTTCTCTTTAGCCCTTGCTGTGAGGATTGTTCTGCTTGCTCAGTTTCTCCTCACATTCACTGTCCCTCTGTCTGTTTTCTCTCTGTCTGTTCTTCACTGGGCAGGGTGAAAAAGGGGACACTGGAATAAAGGTAGGTATAAGGTTTTCTACCGTGGTAGATATCTGGGAGATGCTGCTCCTCGGGCTGATGGGTTGTAAGAGGAAGTTGGGTCTGAGCAGCTCTGTGGGATATTTAATGGAGTACACATCTGTGCTGTGATTAACCACAAACAGACTCTCCAAGTTCAGGCAATAAAAGCACCCTTTATCCTTTTGGTGGAATTTGATTCTTACCAAAGGCATTTCTCTGACTATGAAGCTTGCAAATGATTTGTTACATCTCTCCATTTGATGGGATGGGTTGGGGTTTCCTCATAAGATCTGGTTTGCTGATGCATCAAATCCACTCTATCTCTGCAACTCAGGCTGGGGTTTGGCATCAGGCTTTTCTGTTTGTTCCTGGACACTTTTTACAGACTTATGTGCTCTGTGCCCAGATGTTAACTGTTTGACTAAAGTTTATTGTACCCATATATTTAAAGTATATAACTTAATGTAAGTTTTGCTTAAAACATTACAACACTGGTAAGTGTTCATTGAGTCAGAGCATACTCCATCACACCATACATTTTAAACATCATGAGAAAGAGCTGTTTCTGTAATATTTTAAAAAGCATTAGCAGTGACACATACATTTAAAGTATTTTGTATGTGTCATGCATCTCATTTATTGTGCAGCATATACACTTTCTGTATTTTTTCCATCTGGGTGGATTACTATTTAAAGGCCGAAAAGGCACCTTCAGAACTTAATGTGAATGTGTTACATAGAATTTAAAGAAAAATCCTTTGGGAACACAGGCTTTGGTTTCATAGTTGAATATCACAGCGGTAATTGCCTTCTGATAAAGAGGCAATGCATCTTCAGAAATAATACGGTGCATGTAAAGTCCAAAGGTTCCCCTGTATCCATCTTCGCATCAGTGTAATTCCATCGAGCACAAAACTCCTGGTCTGTGCTAGTGTAAATGAGAGAAGAATTGCACCCAGAACTAGTGTGTTTTGGGAGCTACAAATTTTCTGCTGTCTCAACAGCCAGATGCTTTCCTGCTAAGCTGAACTGCAGGACTGAAGTTGGAGTGTGGCTTAGATGGGAGATGTGTCTGGAAGGAAACACTGCCTTCCACCTCTACTTATTGCTCCCATGTTTCACAGTCAGCAGGCACCTGCTCTGCCTGCACCCACATACAAGGGCTAATCAGCCCCTGATTTATTTTCTGGAACACTAACAGAAATTTCTTAGTCCCAGATGAGATGAAAACAAACCGTATGCAATATATACTGAATCTGGGAAGGCTTCCTAAACCTTTTCATCCACTCCAATTGAGTTTTTGGCATCGGTGTGTTTTGGGGAGATCCTAGGGTCTCCTCATGAACTCCTCTTCCTATTTTCTCAGTGGCTCTGGGAGGGGAAGAGGGGCAGAGATGGGGAAAGGAATTGGCACCTGTTATTGCAGGGCAGCCTGGACCAAGCAGAGAGGGAAGCAATCCTTTCCTATCACTGTTTCTACACTCTGCAGCAATTCTGCCTGCTCTTTGTATCTGGGTTCTGGCAAAAGGAAAGTCTCCAAGGCTTCAGTGATATCTCAGGGTCATGCACACTTGAGAAGCTTCTCTGTCCTGTTAGAGAGTAATGACTCAGTGAGAGCTACTTTGGCTCTTACTCATCTTGTTTTGTAAGACTGGAGACAAAACCTGCTGTGCTTTCTGTGCTAATACATAGGAGCTCCATAGGGTCACCTCCCAGTCTCAAACCAGCCTATTCTTCCACATGCAGACTTTCATTTGTTACTGTCAATATCACTTTTCTCTCTTTCCTTTCTTCTTTGCTCTGAGGGATTGAAATACAAGTGCAGAGATACCCCTAAATCAGCAGCCAGACATCAGCCAGTAGCAGCTCCTGAACATCCACATGGTGCTTGAATTTGTTGCCTTTGGAAATTTCTTCTTTCCTGTCTGCCTCCCTTCCAGGAAGGCCGTTTGGGACCCTGGGAAGCTTTTAATGTTTCCACCTTTGGATTCAATTACATGGACCAGAGTCTTTTTTCTTTTTGTTTGGGGAGCCACTTCAAATACTATAGGTGATTCATAGTTTATCTGTAGGGATCTATTTTGCATAGCTTATCATTGCTTTTTCTGGTAGCGGAGAACATTACAGGCCCTGCCCTGTTGAAGAAGCTTTCAGGTTGTATTCAAACCTCTTGTTCCTGACCCTGAGGTAGACAGTAGTGTTGCATGAAGGCCATTACACAAGCTGTAAGTATGATCAGCTGGGTCATTTGAATAAGCATTTGATTTGCTGTCCCCAGGTTAACCATCAATTTTGGTCTAGCTGATGCATATTTTTCTCTTTTTCGTGATGGTCCTTAGGATGAGGCTTCTTTCTATGCTCTGAGAAAAAAGCAATAATAATCTGGGGATGTGAGCCGGGTATTTTGCTTCTGGCTTCTGTCCTTGGTGATACTTCTCAGTTTCTGGCTTGCCTGCCTTGTTCTGGTGCTGGCTGTGGCACCCTGTGCAGCCCTTCCCTGGCTCAAAGGACACGGCAGGACTAGAGAAGGCTCAGCATGCTGAGGCCTTACTGTACAAAGATTTCCAAATAATTAGGGGCTTAGAGATATTCTGGAGAGTTGCTTTTCCTGTTTGTCCTCTGGCTTTGGCCCTGAGTTTTCTTACTGCTCTTTAATGATGCAGTGCCATGCTTGTTTCTGCTCTCTAATTAGTTCTAGCGCCTGTGTGATCCTGCAGGTGTTAATGAGGGCTGTGTGAATGTGCTGGGGCCATACTCAGGAAATGTCAAGGTAGTGTGGTTGCTCTGTAACTTGCTCCCTGTAAGAGGTTATCTTGCTCTCACTGGGTTGGCTTTGCTTTTGCAGGGCTAAATAATTAAAGAGCCTTCAGACAGGTAGCATCTCTCAGGAAACTCTCTGGGATGGGTGATTACTTCCCTGTGCAGGGCTGCTCTATAGGGCTAGACCCTGCAGCGTGGGTGCTGCCCAGCAGACAGCATTTGTCTTGTCTCATTTAAGAAGAAAAACAGCACACAGCTGGGAAAGAGGGGCACAGGGTGATCTTCACTTCTCTAGTACAAAGCATTCATAATTACTGGTTTATTTTTCTTATACTTTTCTTACAATATACTGCATAGGATGAGAGGTACTCAAAGTTCCAAGAAAGGACAAAACACTCAAAAGAGTCAAAAGGCCACGGTGCCCCTGAAGTTTATAGGCAGAAGGTGTACTTGGCCCTCCTCACAGGGCCCTGGGAGGACTCATGCTGTATCTATTGCTCTTTTTCTGTTTCTTGCTCTGCTTCCAGGGGGAGAGAGGCATGCCAGGGCTGCCAGGAAGACATGGCATGAAGGTACTTTGTGAACAGTGGAGTGATGCTTGTCTGCCTGATCTCACCCTTACCCTTATCAGCTGTCCCTGATGCACAAGCATCACCTGGATTGGTGTGTGTGTCTGCTGGTTGATGACTGTCCTCAGCTGAATTCTTTCTGCTTCTAAATTGCAAAGTATAGGGCCTAATTCATGACGGTCACCATGGGGAGAGAAGTGTTTTAAAAAGCAAATGGCACACCCAATGTGATGCTGTCTTGCAACATCAGGAACTTAATGCTCAGTGCTAGTGAGAGCAGCCAGCTGCCAACGTTCTAGGAAATTGGCATTTCATAAAATGGGGGTCCCAATGTGTTAGCCCGCTGCAGTCAGCAGAGTTATGCAAGTGTGAACCTGGGCTGATGCAGCGATGGATCAGGGCCAGTATGTGTGAGCAAGCCTGCATGTGTGCATGGCAGCTTTACAGTAAGTACTAGAAAATATTGTCTGCATCCACTGCCATTTAAAGGCCAAAGTGAGGAACAGGCATCCCAAACGTACCATGAAAGCCTAACCCAAGCCACTTTCTGCACATAATCCCTTTCATGACTCTAGCCCATATTCACTAAAACCTACTGACCCCTGAGAAATTCTGGAATGCTTTTTTCCCCTTTTATTGCATAGAATCCCTGATTTCCATCTTCTGTCCTTGTGTTTTTTAGCTTTGTCCCTGATTTGTTTCAGAAAGCTGAGAGGTATGATCCCGCTGCTCTCTGGCTCCCCACTCCTCCTTGTTTGAACTTTTCCAAGCTCTCTTCACCTTGAACTTGGCTCCAGTCCTCCTCTCTGCCTCATGTGCTACATCCCACCTTCTAACACTACTTTACCTCCTACCCCTCCTACTTCCCCTCCTTAGACCCGTTATCCCTCATATTTGCTTTTGTAACTGGACATATTCACCAGGCCCTAACTTGTACTAACACAGAGATTCCAGAGCAAAGGGTTGATGCCAGACTTGCATTTTTTTTTTCTGCTGCTGAGGAGAAGGTGCTCAGGTGCTCATGCTTAGGAGTCTTTTCATCCCCTAGGTGGCTGGCTTCATAGCTCTCCTGAAGCCACCTTACTGCAGTGTTAGTCCCCTGAGATGAGAACAGAATGTGGGCAAATAAGACCAAGGCTCTGGTGTTACAAACTGGTGTTCCTCAGAGTGCTTGAGCTGATGTATCTGGGATCAAACTGAACGGAGTGTTTGGTCCTCAATCTGAGTTTGCTTTCCTGGATTACTTGATTTGATGCTGCTTGTTGGCCTTGGCTTCGCCAGCAGGGCTGATGCTCGGGGTGGAAATCTGATTTTCCTAACTGTGTTGTGCCCATGTTATCTGTCTTTGGGTGAGCTTTTTGGAAAGCAGAGCCACTGTCATAGGTGAACGACCCATACAGGGAAGGAGGATGTGTGCTGTGTGGTGTTACAGCATTACTTCTGAGTTTTGGAAAGGAAAAGATGTGGATTTTCCCTTCATAGTTCCACTTGCTGATAGTGTTTTGTTTCTTATATATATATATATATAAATGTATATACATATACAAAATAATTAATTCAGTTTCAAACAAAGTATTCCTGTCTTCTCTCTCTGTCAGGGTGCTCCTGGGATGGCCACGGCAGGGATGAAGGTCAGTTCTGCTCTACGCTTCAGTGTCTCAAAAAGGGTGCATTTAAGAGCCAGGAGAGCTACGAGAGTGAAGGAAAATGGTCAAACAGCTCCCACTGAAGGGGAATGGCAGAACTGCTGTAGCTTCTGGCAGAGAAGCTTGATCTGTCCTCAGCTGCATCTGCTGCTCCGCAGCGCTCTGAGCAGAGACAGGTGGCACTCCACAGCAGTATCAGGATGGCAGCTGAGCAAAAAGTGAGCTGGGTGCCAATGTAGGGGCTGTAAGTCATCTTGGTGGGGCTGAGGTGAGCTGTCCTGATTGATTCCAGCTGCTGAGGAAAAGGCAGAGATAAAGAGGTTATCCCAGAACTGGTGGGGACAGCTTTTCTCCCTGATGCCGCGCTGTTCCCATATCGACACGTCCCCCCATTCTTGCCGTATTCTCAGCTTTGCTGGGCTCCTGTGCAGATATAAGAGTAGGTAAAATCCTTAGTGGCAGCAGGTGAGTGCCAGCAGATAAGTCTTGACTTACTATGGTAAGTCTTCTCTTGAAGGTGGTCATTCCATCTTGCTGTTTATTTTCAGCAGTCCAAGAGCTGGCCAATGAAGACGAAACAAGCTTTAGGCAGAAGTACTAATAGGCATTTAAAACATCCTCACACCCCAAGACCTCCACAGATGAATGCTTTTTCCTCCACTCTAGGAGCTCTAGGAGGTTTTATGCTCACTTTCTATTTTCTCACTTTATTTTCTTGTCTCTTCCTTACCAGGGTGAGCCTGGGACTCCAGGAGAAAAGGTACTTGGAAAGCATTGCTCTGATGCTGTTCTTCTGTTTTGTTTGTAATTTTTTTTTTCCCCCACTTCCCAGAGAAGCTGAGGAATAGCTCTGTGCTTCCCAAGGCACAAATCCAGGTCTTAGTGGCATCTGCCAGCATAAGCAATGGCAATAGTAAATGGCAAGAGTGTACAGAGATAGCCCATCCTGCAAACAAATCCACTCCCTCCCGCTGGTGTCTGTTGGTGGGATTTCCTTCCAGCTGCCTTCCTCCCCTTCTCACTACCCCACAAAATGCCCACAGCGCACTTTGCTCAGCCAGCTTGCTTTCTCTGCCTCCCATCAGAGGTACTGCCACAGTTCATCAGGGACTGTGGGACATTGTTCTTCTGTCACATGCTGAAGGCTGCCCCGTCCTGCCTCTGCTCATGCACTGTTTCAGCATAGCGTGACCTGGCGTGAGACCCTGTGGCAGGCACAGTACAAAAATACCCCATCACTCTCCATCACTAAGCAGCCAGTTTGGTTTCTGAACAGCTGGCTCCTCTTGTTTGAGGCACACTGGGTTGTGTTACAGCATGCGGCAGCCATGTAACAGACGCTCTCTGTCTCTTTTCTTCCCCATGAAGGGAGAGCCTGGAGTCCCAGGGAGGATGGGCCCCCCAGGTTTGCCAGGGAAAAGGGGGCAGCGGGTAGGATATTGTGTGTTTGGGCTTGGTGTGCTGTGTTCCCTGGGAGTGGGAGCTGGCAGCAGCCTGCTTTGCATTGCATTGTTGTGCTTGCAGGGATCATGTGTCCTTTTCTGGCTCTTGCCCTGTTGGTGAAGTGTGTTTGTGTGTTCTTGCTTGCAGGAGGTGGGGGGCTGGCAGCAAGCAGGGTAGTGTGAAGTACCTGGGACACAGTCTTTTCCTGGGAATAATTAAAGGCAGTTCTGTGTAGCCCCTACAGGCGTGATCCTTGAATGAGAAGTATGGTATCAAAAGCAGAGAAAGGCAGAATGTGGCTACGAGGAGAGAGTTGGGTGGGGGCCTTCCAAGCCAAATCACCTTAAAGGAATGGGCCACTGCACTCCAGAATTGCCTAGAACAAACAAACAAACAAAAAGATTAGTGCTTTTTAATTATTTTCCATGGAAAGTGCATGTCTGTTCTTGGAGCACTGATGCAAGCCCTCCACATGTCAGATGTGTGCCCCTGAGTTCTGATGAGACTGGTGTGCGGCACCTGTCTGCACAGGCAGCAGCATGGCACCAAGGGGATCTTTGTGCTGGCCTTGTTGGTCTGCTGTGCTGCTTTTGTGGAGAGAGGGCAGAGAAGAGAGGTTTTGAATTGTTCTTTGTAATCTGCACAAGTCAATTTTGGAGACGTGAGGATTGCAGGTAAGAAAACCTTTTTCTGATTATGCATTTGAAACCTCTCTTCCTGGCAATGAAGAAAGCTCTGTTAGACTGTCCTTATAAAACACAGAGTCCCATGCAGCAACCTGTAGCTGAGAACCATGGGTTTAGCAGTTGGGTGGAATGGGCAGAACAAAACTTAATTTCAGGAGAAATACCACAAATCGCTTCCCAGTAATTCAAAGGGTGATCTGAATGCCATGGTGAACTAAGCAAAGTCACTTCACCAAGTGGACACCCTCTTTGCTCGTTGCCTGCAGTGCTTTGCACAGCTCACCTGCAGACCATGCAGGTATCCACCAGGCATCACATCAACAGGTCTCAAACCATCACCTCTTCTTGCCATTTTTGCCACTCCTTTCATTGCTTTTCACCACCACTGTGTGTCACAGAGCTTGGCTGATAGCTGAGATGCTGCACTGCTTTCATTTAAAGATCATGATGAAACTGGGGTTTGGAGCCAGGAGCAGGATTCATTCCATTGGGATAGGTGTAGGAGATTCTTGCCAAAGCAGCATTGGCCACTTAAACTGGGAGGTCTGAACAGTGAGAGTTGGGAAGTGGACAGTTTGTGTAGGAAGAGCTGAACTCTGTCAGGGCATGGAGAAAGTCCTTCATTCTGGGCAGCAGCTTCTCTAGGTGTGTGGAATGGGGAGAACCCATGCTGAAGGGCTGACAGGAGAAAGGGCTTAGCAGATGAGCAATAAGAAAGAGAAAAGGGGATTTATTTTCATTTGGAAAGATATGGCAGGGATATGTGGGGATATGCAAAAACACAGGAGAAAGCAGTCACCTGCTTGAGCATGTACTGCTGGCAGATGCCTTGGTTTGCCTAAAATAAAGTCCCTGAAAGGAAAGGACAAAGGTTTGAAAGCAGGAGTAACTTCTCTTGTCAGGGACAACAAAAAATATGTTTACAGATATATAAGAGGAGGGCCAAGGAGAATCTCCATCCTTTACTAGATGTGGTGGGGAACTTCACTACTGAGGATAAGACTGCCCAGGGAAGTGGAGTCACCATCCCTGGAGGTGTTTAAGGAAAGGGTAGAGGTAGTTCTTAGAGACATTGTTTAGTGGGCAGTATTGGTGATCAGTGGACAGCTGGACTAGATGATCTTAGAGGTCATTTCCAACTTTAATGATTCTGATTCAATGAACTTATCCTTTGGCTGCTTGTCCAGGACGACCTGCCAAGTCAGCTCCCGACTGTGTCTGTTTCCTCCACAGGGTGAGAAGGGCCGAGCTGGTGACCCTGGGCTCCCTGGCCTGAAGGTTTGTATTTTCCATGAGTTGGAGATCACTCTTTGTCTCCTTTCCTTCTTCCCTGTGCCAGCTGTGTGCAGCCCTTTCCCTATGATATTTTTTATTTTTACAGGCAGAGATGTAGGTAGCAATCATACCTTCAGTCAGACTTTCACCAGGAACTTGCCCATTGGAAAAGGGGACAATGCACTTAATGACAGTGACCATGTCAGGAAAGGATGAGGGTTTAATGACAATGCCATGTGAACATTGCTTTCCTCTTACTGCTAGAGCCCCCAGGTAGAGCTGTACTGGCCTGGCCCCTGGCCACACACAGCTGGTTGCTTGGGGTAGGGATGTTCCTGGGTTATCCTGAGCCCAGCTGAGGGAAGGACTCTCTGAGCCAGCAGCTTGGCAAGTGAAATTAGAGAGATGGAATGAGATGTGATTTGTTTTTCCTTGCACACAGGGAGAGAAGGGAAGTGGTGAGAATGCCTTGGTGGGAAGCAAAGGGGAACCTGGCCCTCCTGGTCTGCCTGGGCCCCCCGGACCAAAGGTGAGTAGTTTACCCTTGAGTTTGTTCTCTTGGTAATGGATGGTGGAGAAAGGCATTGGGGTGTGAAGTCGTGGGTGGAGATTGAGGTTAACTGAGGAGGTGTGACACACTGGAGTGGAGTGCAGTTCTTTCTATTGGGAAAGCAAAGCCAGCAGTGGAGTTGCACCCTGCCCATGCAATTCAGTGCAATCCATTTATTTTTCCCTCAGGGAGAAGCTGGCGACGTTGGTGCTGCAGGATCACGGGGGGAAAAGGTACAGAGGGCTTGTGGGCAGACCAGCTCTGGGTTTGGTATTGCAAAAATATTCCTATATGTTGAAAACTTAGCAGAAATGAAGCATTTTAAAACTGAGCTGTCTAGGGTGAAGATGAAAAGCAGAAGATTAAGCACAGGAACAGATTTGGCCACCACTTGAATTGGTTGTCCCTATGTTAATGGAACAGGCTGACCTGATCCCTCAGAACCAGCTGTTCCAGCAGCAGCTGCTGGTGAAGCACACTGAACCTCTGGTATGCCAGAAAGTATATCAGGCTGGGCTGGGGAACAGGTGCACCTCCAGGTATTTTGGAAGAATACTTTCTCAGAATTAAAATCTACAAAGCTACTTTGTGGTGTTACTGAAGTATTGCAGGTTATGTGCAAGGCTTTCTATTCCAACTTAGTTAGAAATCGTTTAGAGGACTTGTAGAATCCAGTGGTTGCTGGAGTTCAAGTAGTAGTAGTGATGGACATTGCTAACAGCATCTTCTTGTTACAGGGAGAACGTGGTGCACCAGGAGAGCAGGGACCCATGGGGCCAAGGGTAGGTGTCCCTTCACTAATGCTTTTGTATAGTTTTGGCCCTTCAAAGAGGTCTAAGGAGAGTGGTACCACACTGATGGTCTAGCTTGGGCTTCTGCTTTCTTAATGTTCTCACCATCGCTTAAAGGGCTTACAAGCTGGGTAGTGATTAAGTTTGCAGGCTCTTTCTCCGTACCTTCATTAGAAGATATTTCTCCTTCAGGGGAGAAGACTTCCTAAGCTCATCAGGGTGAATGCTCTGCTCATTTGTAGGAGGAGGCAGTCTGGGCACCCAGTCTGAATTCAAGCCCTTGGCATATCTGCAAATGGCAGTGCAAATCTGACAGTGAATACAGTTCATGGATTCTGGCCTCAGCTTCACCATGTACCAGACTTGTAAACTCTGACAGTTATGGTGCGATAACCTGGAGGCCATCTGGCTACAACTCTATAGTGTTCCCTCTATAAAATACGCTTTTAAGAGCTTTGTTCAAGAAATGAAAAACTGGATCCTTGTGAAACAGATCCCTCTCTGAGGCTCCCATTTTTTTAGGGTGACCCCCATAGCTCCCAGGCTACACCATGGGGAAGCCGATCCCAAAGCTCTGACTGAAGGTCGGATATTTTGCAGGGCCCCAAAGGAGAGCCTGGAAAGGATGAAATGATGGACTATGATGGTAACATCAGTGAAGCTCTCCAGGTGAGCACTGTCCTGCTATCCATGAGGTGACTGTTGGTTTCCCAGGGGATGCAGAAAACCCAGCACAGTGTAAATCTTCCTCAGCACTAACAGCAAAGAAAAATATTTGGTTGTTCTACAGCACTGTTAGTCCTACAGTTCTCTGCATACTGTTTTGATAAATATCTGTGTATCTTATTTAAGTGAGAAATTGAGTCTGGCAGACAGTAAGGCCATGGGAATCCCCTGAAGAGTGGGACAGGGATTGAAGCCTTAGAGTAGACTGGTGAATAAAAGCACTGCAAAGCCTCCTCAGAGGTGTGTGCTTTGAGCAGTTGTGCCCAGCTTTGGGTTAGTCTGGGTTCTGTTTGGGAGAAAAAAATGTTATGATGGTGGGGAGAAATTGCTGCATCGCTCCACGTGACTCAGAGATGTTTTTTGGCTTCATTTCATAGGGTCCTATGAAACAAGGTCTGGGAAGAAGCTTTGTTTTCAAATGACTGTTACCCTTTTTCTATTTCTTCACTTTCTTTTTCTTCTAGGAAATACGAACCTTGGCCTTGATGGTGAGTTCCTAGCTTCACTGTGTGGCCCTAAGTGATTAGCCATATGTTCATCCTAAGCAGATACCTGCACCATTTTTGCACAGCTAAGGTCTATTTAGCTGTTGGGACAGTGTTGACAGCTGAAGGAAGAGCTCGTCTTGCCGTCTGATCTTGGCACTTGAATTATGGTCAGGTCCTTTATTTCTCTAAGAGGTAATGTTCCCTGCTCAGAAGGGGCAGGAAAGAGTAAGGGGGTCTGACCAAGATAAAGAAAACTCATTGGCAGCCCTTGGCAGACACTTTGTAATGAGAGAGGAATACATACTTTCACCATTGATAAGTATTACTTGATATATGTCCCATACAAAAATAATTTAAAACATCAGTGACAACAACAACCCCTTTGAAGGGAAAGGCAAAGTGATTACCTGGAGCCAAAGAAGAGGGTTAAAGCATCTGTGTATTTTGTTTCTTGAGACAACAGGACACTTGACTGGGGGGAAAAGGCTGGGCAAAGGAATATGGGTATAAGCATCTAGGCTGAGCTGCTGCCTAGGTCTCCCTAAAGCAGTAATTGCCAAGATTTATCATCACTCTTGGCTCTGCTTAAGCTGCACATGGGATCTAAGAAGTGTAGTGTTTCTTATGTCTCTATTAATCTAAAAATATATATTTGTGGATGGGAAGGGAAAATCCTTGTTAAGTTCGTCTCAGTTCTAAGAATGAATAGCTGTAGTCATTTTTGTTTTCTTCCATGAGAAAGTAGAAGAATGCATAAGTATCTATAACTCTTTTTGGATTTGGGCTGTAGCTTAGTAAGTCTCTGTACTGCTTTGCTTTCCAAGCAAATGCAATTTTAGGAGTCTCCAGGAAAATTCCCCTTAAACGCAGAAGAGATCTTTGGTTACAAAACACAAAAATGAAAGCCCAGATGATATTTTGAAAATGAATTCTACTTTGTCTAGGGACCGCCAGGACTTCCAGGTGTGGCTGGACCTCCAGGGCCACCAGGACAGAAGGTACTGCAGAGCTGGGGGAAGAATTCACACGCATCTCTCCCCAGTGCTCCTCTTCTTCCTCGTCAGCACTGTCAGGCCATGTCCTGCCAGGCTCCACTCCTCCTCAGCCATGGTATCCTGAATCCCTTTTCCCACAGTGATAAGGCATTATCTCAGAGATGAAGGATCCTTCCTACTCACCCTCCCCCTTATAAAACATCTTATGGGAATTGGTGTTCGTTGGAGACTGTTATAGCACTGGGACCATGAACTGTCATTCTGGGTAAACAAGGCTGCTTTCAAATGGCCAAAATAACAATTTTGTGTTTCAGGGTGAAATTGGCTTACCGGGTCCTCCAGGCCATGATGGAGAAAAGGTAAGACAAGCTACCTCTGTGGATTGTTTCATCTTCAGTAGCTTTAATTGGAGCTAATTTGCACTGATACTTATGCACGGTTGCTTTTCCACTTGGAGGTGGGAGACGGAAGTCATTTGGCTCCACAGAAATGAGCAGTAGTGGCTTCTCAGAGTATTAACTTCTATGGAACAGTTGGAATGGCAGGGCAAACCTGGTTCTTTTTTCCTTTTTTTTTCCTTTTCCTGTTTGTGATTCTTCCGGTTGTGTTACCATGAGTGAATGAGCAGCAGAGGCTCTGAGCTGGGAAGTCACTCTGCAGGGCTAACATTTCTCTTACCTGTCAGTCTCACTTATTGACTGAATTTCTTTTAGGGACCACGAGGCAAGCCAGGAGAAATGGGCCCCCCTGGACCTCATGGACTGCCAGGAAGGGATGGACCACCTGGAATAAAGGGAGAGCCAGGCCAGATTGGGGCTGCAGGAGAAAAGGGGCATAAAGGAGAGCCAGGACAAGCAGGCTCACCGGTGAGTACATTGGAGCCCCTCAGCAGTGTTCTGCTCTGTGGCTCTTCAGGTTATGGGCATGAGCCGTGGGATAACTCGGAGCCCCTAAGCAACTGGGGCAGTGCCCAATTTCCTAGCTTGAGCCTGTCACAACTTCTGCACCCTAACACTAGTCAAGAGAGTTTTATGCAGTGAGTTTTTGCCTCTCTGCAGGATAACTAGGATAAAGCTCTTGCAGTAACAACAGCTAGCTATTGGAGTGATTTCTAGCACGTACTCCAGCAAACTGCATAACCACAAGCAGAACTTGGAGGCAGGAAAGCAGTCCTTCATTGCGACTCTGGGGAATGGCACGTCCACAATGACAGGAGGGTGTTTCAGGCACATTACTGTCTGGTTTCAATACCAGCAAAGCCCTGCCTTTCCCTGTGTACCTGAAAGCTGTCTGGGTTTTCCACTGTACCCTTGGAGTGCACAGGGCACAAGTCACTTCTGGCAATGATATCTGTAATACCTGCAAAAAAGTCTTGCAAAAAGCTGCAAATCTTTCTTGATTCATAGGGTCTTGATGGCCCCACTGGAGAGAAAGGAGAACGAGGTGACCAAGGGATGCCAGGACCACCAGGATTGCCGGGTCCCATTGGACTTCCAGGATTGACAGTAAGAGTGAAAAAGACAGGCTGACCTTTCCTGCTCAGTGAATTAAAAACAGTACAGAGCAACACATGTTTCCCAAAGCGCAGTATATCTCAGGATCCTTAGACCATCCCATCCCTTGGAGCTAGGTGCTTCGGCATCAGCAGACATCTGTCAGACCTCCAGCAGCAGGCAGGCAGCCAGCCGAGCATTAGTTACCACTGCTCTCTGGAGGTGCTGGACTCTGGAAGCTGCCTGTAAAGCCTGTACAGCTAAGGCAGCCGATACCTAGTTTGCTGTCAGCATGAGGCTGCTTCTGAGTGGCTTGCTGTGCTCCCTTCCTGGGAGGCTGTAGTGCAGCAGAGATGTCAGGCTGTTAACTGGGGAAAGGCAGACAGAGTCCCATGCTCCCCTTACACAGCCCCAGGACATTGCTCCCAGAGAGCTCCTGTTTTGTAAGGTTGTCATCTCTGGAAGCGGAGGTGCTGAAGAGACATCAGTGAGCTGTTAGAAGTACCTGGTATAGTCTCAGTCCTCCTTTTGGGCACTGTTGCTTCTCAGCATGTGGGTGGTTGACACGTGGCTTCTGATGGAGTGAGACTCCAGAAGGCAGCTGGCAGTGACAGGCTGTGTTGTTGTGTGCAGGGAGAGAAGGGTCAGCCTGGGGAGCGTGGAGACAAAGGAAGTCCAGGAGAATCGGTAGGTCCCCTGCCTCATTTCCTTTCTGCAGTAGGGGAGGGATGGCTTTGGCAGCAGTGCTGCTGAAAGCCAGCACATCCTCTTGTGATGCATCCCACAAGCTTTATCTTGTGGGACTGAATTGCCAGAATCGCTGGCCATCTTTAGCTCCTGATGCCCTACTTTTCTTCTACATAAGAACAGTCTAACTCATGAGCAATCAATAATGAATGCCTAGGGAAGAGCACAAGACAATTGGAAGCACAACAATTATTTTACTCAACATTTGTGGTGAAGGATTTTTCTAAAAAAAATACCTGCCTGGACCTAGATATTTTCAATATATGTTGGCTTAATGAATTTGCCTTTTTTCTCCTCAAAGCTCACTGAACTTCCATCATGCCCTGCAGTGAGGGGTCCCTCAGGCTATCAGTACTCATGTTTTTAGAGCCAGCTACCTTCCTTTCTATACTTTGAAACAGCTAGCTGAAGTAACAGTGGGAGACTAGTGGAAGCGTATTTTTTTTTCTGTAAAAATATCACTGCTTTCCTTTCCTCTAAATCTCTGCAACTGCTGCAATAACATTTCCAGAAGCTGCTGCTTCTTGGCCACTCTGTCCTGGATTGCCATCGCTTCTGAATGCAGCCCTCTGGGGCAGTCTAGGTTTCCAAGCCTGGTGGAGCTTAGCTGCTCCACGTGCCCTGCCTCCCCCCTGAGCGGTTCCCCTTCTCATGCTGAGGCCAGCAGCTTGACACTGACTTCTCTTGCATTCTTTTCTAGATGTCTGGCCCCCCTGGACCTCAAGGCCCACCAGGACCTCCAGTAAGTGTTGTGATTCACCTGAGGAGAGAGGCACTGGAAAGTGTGAAAGAGATGAAAGTGGCTGGGGAGGATTTGGGGTGCAAAAAACTGCCAGAAACACTGCAGCACTGAAGCAGCAATGCACTTAGTGTCACTTCCAGAACTACCTCCAGGGTAGGTCAGAGCTACGATGGGCTGGGAAGTTAAAAGGTGAGAGGTTAGATTAGCCTAAGATGAAAGGGAAGACAGTAGTGAGATGGGATGGACAGGATTAAAAAGATCAAGTGCAAAAATGGTCTTAATAGCAAGCCTGGCCTGCTGCCAGGTTGTTCTTGGCGAGATCCTCCTCATTGCCAGATGAGAACAGTACGTAAGTGCCCTTTACACAAATAAAGAGGCCTTTGGGCTAAGCATTTGTGCCCTCAGTGTGTCAGGAAATGAAAGCTTTATGTTGCCCAGTGAGCTGGCATGCCTGGGCTTTAAGGCACGCCCTTAAGCGTTGCTCATATCTTGTTTCTCATTCCAAATACAGGGTCTTCAGGGCCTTCCAGGACCAAAGGTAAGGCTGTCAGATTTTCAATCCTGAAATTTTGCTAGAGTTGTCCAAAGTGCCAGAATTCCTCTCAGCAGCAGCTTCCTAGCTTTTAAAGTTGCTGTTCTTCCATTTTGGTAAGAGAACAAAACTGTCTGTATGCTATCCTGAAGGGATTGGATTAGCAGCATCCATCCAGAATAGTGGTCATTTTCTCCTGTTCTCAGCTAGAGAAGTGGGAAGCCTCTGGCCCTTGGAAATCTTCCCATGAGAACATAGCTGAAATTTCTGTCTGAAGGGTAAAGGTCTGTACAGCGGGATGGACAACCTGCCTTACAATCCAAAGCAACTGAGCTCTATTTTAAAATTAGCCAGGTTCAATATGCTGTACATCCTGCTGCAATGCCATTCAAGAACTTCACTGTTCTCAGGGATTTCAAGCTTTCTCATCTCCATCTACATGTGCTTATGCTCAATTTGTTCTACTGGCTGGCAGGTACAAAGGACAGGGAAAGTCTGTTTTCCAAAAGATTTTGACTTTTTTCAAGGCTTACAGATACCAGTCATTCCCTTCCAATGAACCTACAGTTTAAAATTCAAAGCTGCCCTATCAGATCATTGCTGGGTACTTGCATTTACCTGACACTCCCTGCAAGAGCAGGGAGAACAATACAGGAGGAAGATCTTTTCCCCTTTGACCATCTTTAATTATCCTCTGGACCTAACTGTCCTCTTACTAGCATTGATTAGAACAAGTCACTTTGACTGATGCTGGTTTTCTTCTGATTGAACCAAGAATTGGGCTAAAGCACAGCTCTTTCTTTGCTACCTCTCGCATTCTCTGCTGCTTCATTGCTCTTGAAATGAAGGATTGTTTGTTATATAAGTGCTGTCATGGTGGATTTATTTTCTCCATCCTTCCTTTAGGGGGAAGCAGGGATTGATGGAATGAAAGGAGAGAAGGGTGTCCAGGGTGAAAAAGGAGACAGAGGGCCACTGGGATTACCCGTAAGTATCCAGGAAGCAGGCAGTGCTTTACAAGCCAAACTGGTATCAGCCGTAAAAAGATCTCTCAGTAGGAGATGCATGCAGGGATTTGATACGTAAAGTCAGAGAAAGAGATGGTCTATAAATAACTGTGCCATTGCTTCTTAAACTCACAAAGCCTCCATTTCTCTACACAATCTGTGATCCTTTTAGTGATCCTTTTAGTTCTTCCTGCTTCTGGCAGCTTTGGGAAAAGCAGTAGCTTTCCCATAGGTCATTTATAACCTCTGTTACTGGTCTTGCACCATTTCCCTGAAGCACAAAGATGTGCAAAAGTGAAAAGGAGACACTTTCCCAACAGTTTGTCTCCTGGGCAGGCTTTGTACTAAAGTTGTGGTGTTTCTGAAAGCATCCAACCCTTGCTGTCCAATATTTTCCTATCACTTCTGCAATGGAAATGATGCTTTCCCTGATGCAGGAGAGGCTTCCTGTGTTCCCTGCTGTAGATGAATTCAGTGTTAGAGTAGTGCTAGCACACTACTTAGCTTACAAGGAGGGATTTTGGCAGAATGGTAAAATTGCACAAGCTTCAGATACAAACCTGAGAATTTTGCAACAAAAAGCTCACATTTCATATCTACTGAAAGCCTCTACACCTGGTATCTGAGTCTCATCTGCTGATGATGAGTTAGCAGTAACTTAGTTCTACTCAGTTGCTCTACCAGTCCCCGGATTCTCTCCTCATGTGAATGCACTGATGGTAAAGCACAGCCTCTCCCTTCACTGAATGGTACTGACTGGAAACGAGCACTGCAAAGAGTGCATCTCGTGCTTTATGATTTTGTTGTCAGCTTTTGTTTGATCACCCAAAGCTGACTTTGGCTGAAATGTGCACGTCTTTGTTTGTAAAATGTTTTCCTTTTTCAGCTGTATTTATAGCAGTTACCTTCCTGCCCCTGGTGCACTTCATCTGACTGTAGGCACCTAACTGAGCTCGTAAGGGGTGTTTTTGCCATGGGCTGCATGCATGGCCAGTGGGGAGAAAGTGAGGCTTTCAGAAGGCTCTAATCTGAAGGGCAGTTAAGCCAGGAGAAGTAAAGCCTCAGTTCTCATTCTGCTCTGAGAAATGCAGATGGGAGCTTTCTCTGCAAAAACAGCTATTCTTTAAAGTCTATGCAGTACTAGGACAGGGAAAGGAGGTTCTTGTGGCCGTCTGAGCAGAAGACACCCCAAGAGTTACCATGCATTGAACCCCATCAGCCATCAGGGCCCCATGCCTGCATTCCTGCTCTTGGTCTTTTGACCTCTGTAGTCCATCAGCATCAAAGCCCCCTGGCTCACAAATGTTCCTGAGCTGTGGAGTGGGGAATGCTGTCTCAGAAATGTTCTTGTTGAAATGTTCTGTTGGACCAATGATAGCAGCTGGCTAACTAAGCCCTGAATAGAACAACTGCTAGGTTTCATGCTGAGAAAATTAAGGGCAACCCAGTTCTGCCACAAAGTCAGTGCAGGTTTCAGCTGTCACGTTGTCCTGGTCTGCAACAGAGCAGCTTCTTCCTCAGAGATTTTCTTGATGGCACAGAAAGAGGGGAAATTTGCATTCTGAGGCGGATCCAAATGTTACAGGCAATATTATATTATATGTATTCAGTGTTTCTGTGTTTATGTTGGTTTGCTTGTAAGCACCATCATCTGTCCTTGAGATCTTAGTTTTTGTTGATTGCAAGTGTATGTTTGTCTGGAGTCACTGCTTCACTCACCTCACCTCTCCCCTCCCCTCTCCCCCCTCACCCTCTTCCCCTTTCCTCTTGCCTTGTTTTTGTTCACCTTTCCCCATCTGTTCAGGGTGCTTCAGGTTTAGACGGCAGGCCTGGACCACCGGTGAGTTCCATTTCTCCATTGCCCTATGTTCCTCTCCCCCGTACTGTGACTTGTCTCGTCTTTTTCACCAGTCTTGTTTACACCAAAAAATAACCTTATTTTCTCCAAAGCAGGTTTGGGAGGGGGGTTAAACTTAAGGATGAGTAGAGATAAGTCACAAACTTGTCTCTTTTGATACTGTGAGTCTGTCCGGATCCCAGCATCATAGCCTACTTGTTCCACTTCATCTCAATAACAAGACAAATTCTGCATGGTTTCATGACACTCGGTTCTCCTGTCTGCTTTGTTGTGAGGGATCTCCATCTCCATCTTGTCATTCTCCACAGTCACCTTGCTTGCAGCCTTTTCACAACAGCAGCTGTTGGCCTGTGTGACAAAAGTACATGCTGTTCAGTTAGGAAGGTGAATGCCTCACTGTGCAATGTACTGCACGGGACGGATCTGAAGGCTGTGCTTTATCTAGGCTGCAGAATGCGGTCTGGAAGAGTTGAAGCAGATCCTTCAACAGGCAGTGCTCCAAAACAAGTTTCACAGGTGTCTTTCGACTTGCATGACTGGCTGCAAAAACTTTTATTTTTGCCAACTCAGCTGACACTGGGGGGAAGGAAATGATAGAAAGAAAAGAGAGTCACTTACTATATTTCTAAATAGCCTTTGTTCTGCTACAGCTTTCAGCCTTGTTTGTGACAAAAAGGAGAGAAAAAATCCATCATGGCAGCAATAGAAATGCTTACTGTAACAACCGTCAAGGCATAGCTTCAAAATTAGAAAATGATGCTCTGTGAGATGGTGCTGGTGCAGTTCCCATGCATGCTCTTCAGATGGCATGCAAGAACTTCTCCAAACCCACCACCACCATCACTGAAAGCTGTAGTGGTACTCAATGCCTTTAAACACTGGACTGTCCTTCTCAGCTGTGCTTTTTCCTGAAGGAACAGCAGCATCTTCTGGCTTTAACAAAGCCCCACAGTAAGAATGACCTGATGTGTTTTCCTCCCTGCAACTACAGGGTACTCCAGGACCAATTGGGGTTTCGGGACCAGCAGGACCAAAAGGAGAACGGGTGAGTTTGGTTCAAAACTGAACAATGCTTTGTAACTTCTTTGAAGGTATGACAGCTCCTTAAAATGGAGAAGTTCTAAGTCTTTCTAGGAGCTGGATTTTTTCTCTCTCTGTGTATGGAAGACCCACAGTTAGCATTTTTTACTTCTGTCTTTTTCTTGGGGATTTATGTGCTTTAAAACACATCTTTTACATTTCCTCTTTAGTATTTTGTTAGTTGTTGTGCTGCCTGTTCATACTGAATGGGTGTGTAACAGTTTCTACTCTTCTGTCTCTGTTTCAGGGTAGTAAAGGAGATCCTGGAGTTGTAGGACCAATGGGGCCAGCAGGACTTCCTGTAAGTACAGGAGTACTAGGGATTTGTTATCTACAAGTGCCTATTTCCTTGTGCTTGGTAGCTTAAGTTGCTGCTGCAAATAGCATTTGCAATTTCGGCTAGGTTAGGTGTTAAATAGATAAGTTAAGAGCTTAAATATCCTATGGGAGCAAAAGAAAGAGCTGAGTAGTTTCAGAGCACTTATTCAGAATGAGGCAGATGAAGCTGAAGGGAACTGTTAACTTACCACAGTCCTCAAACTACCAAAAGAAGCTGTGTGAGACTCCCAGGATTTGTATCTTAGTCCAGAATCACAGAATTGTAGGCGTTGAAAGGGATTTCTGGAGATCAGGAAGTCCAACCCCTGCTAAAGCAGGTTCCTTACAATAGGTTACACAGGTAGGCATCCAGGTGTCTGCATTGAGAAGACAGTGTCTTTTCATCACAGTGACAAAAATTGCCTTCAGTGAAGTTAATTCTCTGTTCTTTCAGCTCATCTTGCTTTTGTGTTAGAGAAAAAGCAGTGGTGTTTTAGCCTGGACAATCTAATGGAGGTGGGAAGGAAGTTGTCTACGGGAAATGTTAGATTTTACCATCTACTAATCGATATAAATGAAAGGGACAAACTCTTGGGCACAAATCCTTCTTTTTGAGTGGGCATACAATTTTAAAGTATTTCTATTTTTGTGCTGATGTATTTCAGGGTTTACAAGGTTTGCCAGGTGACAAAGGAATCCGGGTAAGTTACCAAGCAAATTTTGTTCTTTGCACAGTGGTTATTTCTGGGCAATGTAAAGATAGCTAGCATGTAATTCTGTCTGCTAGACCTTCACATTAATCACTTTACTACCTGTATTTTAGATGGTGATACCTGTAGTTTATGTCATCCTCTAGGACATCACAGTATATCTCTCTGAAAGATGCAGGATGGATTTTCTGATGTTTCACTGTTGTCATAACTCTGTTGCCACTGAAGCACAGGGCTTCATTTGTAATAGAGTTAAGCCAACATGTCACACTTTAGGAAATCCTGCTCTCTGTTTTGTGATGTACGTAGAGAACTATGAGAACTACCATGAGAACTAAGTGAGACACAGCTGCTAAATCTTACTACGTTACTTTTGAATTTGCACTGAAGCATGAAAAAGAAGGTTGACCTCAAGCAAATGATTCTTCAGAGAATCTGGAAGAGAGAAATTCGGAGATGATAAATTCATGTACATTAAAGAATTGGACATGAAGTCTTCTCAGGATTTGCCCTGAGTGGATGTGCTGAAGAGTTGGGTCAAAACAATTCTGCCTTAACACCTGTGTTCTAGAAGGATAGCCATGGCTAAAAAGCATGCATCGAAGCTCCTCTTCCATTCAGTTCTTAGTGACATGAGGAGTTTTTTGTTTGCGAAGGCCCCAAACCTTTCTGATTAAAAACAGAAAAAAGACCAACAGTTGAATAGAATTTATATTTAGAAATGTAAATGACTTCTGGATTATGGTTTTAAGATTACAATTGTGTAAATATATCAAGCAGTTTAATATAGTACATGTGTATGTATTTTTGTGTGTATTCACACATACAGATGCATACTTTCTTTCATAAGACTCTGGTATCACCTAAATTTACCTGAAAATAAGTTCATATGCCCATGAAGTGATTTCATGATATTAATTTGCTTTTTGTACATAATGAGTGTTCTCTGTTCTTATCTGCAATGTATTTCTGATCTTACTCTGCATAGAGTGAGCAGTTCTGAAAAGCAGTAGCCAATTGGCATCTTAAACTAGGGGAGAAAGGTATCCTGGGAGCTCCAAAGTTCTCCCCTTTTTTAATTATTCCATTTCTGGCTTTGCTTCTTAACTTCCTCCTTATTAAGATGTATGATGTTTTGTTTTACGTGGCTTCTAAACAGAAAATGGCCGTAACAGAATTCCTAGACTTCTTCAGTTGGGTTTTCACAGGGTTTTTCACTGACTGTAGATAAGCTACTATGATTTCCCTGAGCTCTCAGCTGTGTTGTCTGAATGCCTCCATCCTTTTGAAGTCATTGCAGACATCTTACCAGCACCATTTAGGAGAGCTTGACCCAGTGCTTGTACCCTAGGATTTGCTCTGCTACCTGGTATTCCCAACTGAGCACTAGTTTTCCCTCAGTGAGGCACAGCTGTGCCAGAACCTCCTCAGAAGTGAGGGACAATCTCCTCCAAATTAACTGCTGGCAAAACTGTGACAGTTCAGCCAGGAGACCTCAAAATGAATGAGAAGAAATCTGTGAAGTTAAAGAGAAGGCAACACTCTGACCTGACCTGTTCTACAGGGGGTGGGTCCAGGGATACCACACCTGGCTTTTTGGAAGTGGGAGATGTGATCCCTTGGGAAACCTCACTTCATTATTATTTTTTTTTTTCTGGACAGCTGCAGTATGTATGGCACTTTCATATGAAGCTTTTCAGCACTGAGTACATTAAAAATTGAGAATCAACTCTGTTAAGCTTCCGAACAGTTTGCCAAAACCCTCTGTGCAACCCTCTTAGTTCCTTCAGGGCAAGTAGTGCTTTTTAAACTCCAGCAACCCTCCTGCTGCCTGTTGTTCAGTGCCTGGGACACGTAGAGCCAAGATGGTGGCACCAGGTTACAACGGGAGCAGATAGCCCTTCAGAAAATCCATCTGAAAAAGTGTCAACCCTATCTTTTGCTACTAAGCTGATATCTTTGCTGCTGTTCTAATGCCTGTATTTTTTTCTCATGTGTGTATGTGTGTCTTCCTCGCTCCTACAGGTCCACCTTTGTCCCCTTTATCCCTTCTTCCTCTTCTGCCTTTCTTCCTGGTTCCTTCCTCCTCCCTCCAGAGCAACCCATGCTGCATTTTCCTGGATCATTCTCTGTTCCAGTGCTTGGTTCTGGGTGATTCCGTCTCGTTGCTTCTGCTCTCCCATCCATTTCTCCTGCCAGCTTTGAGTTTAACACATTTTAAAGAAGAAACAGCAGCCTGTGCTGTCTGATGTTATCCCTAAATTCTTTTAACCTTCCCCACAAGGACCCTAAATTCAATTCCCTGTGCAGCAGCCCCTTTCCCTGTTTATGCTCAGCAGCTTTGGTAATTTCCTCTGTTATACAGAAAGATTTGCTGTCAATATGACCAACAAATACCCATATAACACCCAGCCTTGTTGACCTGCTGTGGGTAGGACATATCGTCTCTCACTGAAGAGGAGCCACAGGATATCTGGGCACTGCCTTGGCCACAACTGTGGCTGGCTTTCACTGACCCACTGCTTCCCCTTCCAGGAGAACAAGGCTCATCTTTGGTTATGTTGGTGGCTTTTTTCTCCTTCTAAAACGTTCCCATGGATGAGAATTTATTTATGAATGAGAATTCAGAGAAGTAAAAAAAAGTAACATTGGCACAGGGAGCCGGGCCAGCAATGCCTCACAACCACAACAGGAGGTCCTGATTGGGCTCTGCCTCAAGGCTTTTCCCCAAGAGCATTACAGCCCATTACCACCTGATGAGAGCAAGTAGCATACAATGTCTGGAGGAGGTTTTCCCATCCTCTCTTCCCACTGTCATATGAGAAGCTCAGGGAAGTGGTTGTAACAACAGTGCAGTGCTCTGCTGCTGCTATGGCACTCCACCTTCCTTTGATGCAGTGCTTGCATCATCTGTCAGTGTGGGACTTTAGGAATGGCCCTTATGTTTGTATAGCTTAGGAAAGGTTAGTAGTACCATATGTTGCTCTTCATTTACCATCTCAAAGGGAGGTTTCTCTTCTTTTAAAATGTTGCCTACATGTTCATTTTTAAACTATCGCTGACATTTGTTTGAAATGGATGATCCTAAAGCTTTTGTGTATTCTTTTTTTCTTGGACTAAACTGTTATTTACAGGGGGAGAGGGGCAAGAAAGGCTCTAGAGGGTCTAAAGGGGATAAGGGAGACCAAGGAGCGCCTGGATTAGATGCACCCTGTCCGTTGGTATGTTCTGTTTTATCAAATGTATTGTTTTAAGATGTGTTGGTGGGGAAAAAAGGACTTCCTTTGCTGCTAGCTATGGTTCTTCTTTGGAAGCGTTCAGTGTCATCATGTCTCCATAAGAGCAAAACTGGTTTTGTTGCCTTGGAGTAGCAGCCAGCTGATGTAATCGCCTGAGAATGACACAGGACACCTGAGCCGCGTCACCCAGACGGGAAGCACATCTCAGTTATTTTCAATGGGATGTGTTTTGCCAAGATACACTGTCTATAAATCTAGATGAATAAATTTATGAATATGTATACATTTTCATCTAAACTCATGCACTGCAGTGAACGTGCTGCAAGAAATGACCATAAATCCCGGGAACACTCGTGCTTCGTGCTTCTAGAAATTCACATGCTGGAATTTCCAGGGAGGGTAGGAAGAACGGATGATTTGAAAACAGATGAGATGCCGTTCCCATCACCTCCAGTTTAATTCAGTTTCACTGATTTGTAGATTGCAGAAAAACAAGCGGCTGATCACACAGACAAACTAAAACAGAGAACAGTGCCATACGTGTTCTGGGTCTGCAGCAGAGTGCCCTGTGTCAGTCCCAGTGCAGGACCGTGCCTGTCCTCCGGTGCCATGGAGGTGACTGGCATCAACTGAAATAACGATAGTGGTTGATTTCATAAACAGGGTCTCCGAGGTTTTAAAGGCGAGAAGGGTGAGCCGGGGTTACCTGGGCTGGACGGGCTGGATGCCCCATGCCCATTGGTATGGCGTACCTTCCCTTTCCTGCATGTTTGTTTGCTTTTATATCTTGGTTGTTATTTTCTGATACCTCCATGTAGTTGCATGCCCTAGAGACGTATGACAGCTCCTTCCTCACCTCTCTCCATCCCACCTCCCTCACACCGCTGTTGTCAGAAACGGTCTTTTTCTTCCTATGATTCACAGCTGCTGCCAGTGTTACTTTATGGCGTGAGGGAAAATGCAGCAGGAATGAGAATTTTAATGCTGCTTCAGTTCTCGCTTTGCCTTCACTTTGAGAACATCTGTTAGACTAACACACGAAGGCTGCCTCTGCACTAGCTTGGTTTCTGAGCCAAGGAGCTGAAATGCTTTCATCCTTCATTAACATTAATTGCTTGTATGTGTTTAGCAGTTTGACACTGCTCTGTGTTACTCAGTCACTCTGAATATTGACTGGAAAAATATAGCTGTTAGAGGCCCATGTGAGACGTTAGTAGACACCTCCCTCAGCTCCCACTAGATAATTCCTGTTTGTGATTCTTCCCTGAAATGAAAACAGTACCCACAGCATCCAATGTCTTGAACTTGGAATCACCTATTTTCCCATATCTGTCTCATTCTAATATTAAAAAGCGATCACTGTATTAGTGCTTCATTTAACCCAACTACTGTAGCACAAAAGGTATTCAGGAACACTTAACCTCAACTGATTTATAAGTATCCCATTAAAGAACACCAGTTTACTCATTCACAAAGATCATTTGTGGACGTGCTGCATTTGGGTGAGGTTGTTGCCCCTTCCAGCTGTCTGCACCATTCCATAATACCCTGACACTTGTGCTCTCCTGCCCTTCCCGCCCCCATTTAGCATGGCTAGGTTTTCTTTTTTGCTTGAGGATGACCTTTCCAAACCTTATATTCACTTAAAGATGTGTGCTTTCATTTGCAAGAGATGTGGTATCAGTTCCTTCAACTGGCTGGAAAAATGTATCCCAAGAAAAACACGATACCATATTTAGCAGGGCTTTCTAGTTTCCTGGGGAAACTGGCCCTGGAGTTGTCATTATGAAAGCCTCCATTATTTGGCCTCTGTGAAATGCTAGTGTTACTGTTCCTTCCAGCACTCCCTCCTCAGTTTGCTGCCATTATCTCTTCATAGCAGCATGGTGACTATTTACAAAGCCTCAGTTGCCACTCTGTCAATTCCAGGTAGTACAAAGCAAACCTCAGAAGCGAAATCATGCCTGTAAAGGAACAAAAGCCATGTGTTTCACTTCCCACTGCCAATAGCCAAAATTCCTATGGAGTAAGTTTGGTCTGAGTACAGCACCTAATTTCACAGGTGCCAGGCACAGATTCTGCCTGTGCCCCCACAGACTGCCTTTTGTTTGTCTCTGCTTTTCATGGCCAAATTACAGCACACACCTCTTCATGCCTATGTTTTTTTAGGGAAACTTGACAGAAAATCTGGTGAAATACAGATGCTATTTTTATTTACACAAACAGCATACTGGCATGCAAGCTAGCTTGAGAACTTGAGTAAGCATGGGTTTTGATCCAGCTTGTTTAAAAGCTGCTGACACATCCATGTGCATAGCTTATGAGGCCATGAACTAATGATTTACACATCTGATACGTGGATGGAGATGCTTGATACTAATAAGCATGTCCCATTTCCATTCTCCGCAAATTAGCCTGCAACAAACACTTCCTTATGACCCTGATCTTCCTTTGATCCCTACACTGTAACTCTGCCTTTCCATTCCTTCATGAACCTAACTTTCCATTTCCTCCTGCAACGCACTGCACCAGTCACTCCTACCACCACCAGAGTACCAATGGGAATGCCACAAGTTACCCAGTAGTTAATTGATCTAAACTTCAGGATTTCCCCGTAGTGGGAGGAGAGGGGGGTGAAAATATACCACAAGGGGAACCATAGTCCAAAAAATTGATTCAGAAAGCAGTATGGTTAGAGCATCAGGACACTATCACTTCATGAATCTCTTCTAAGCATCTTTCTGATAGGTAGTTTTTTTGTCCCAATATGCTATTGTGCATTTGCTTTTCTATTTGTTTTGTTTTGTTCCCTTCTCAAATGGGATGATGTACTTTCTCACGAGGTACTTGAGGAAGTGAGAACTGAGTCATTTGACTGAAGAAATGTGCCTGCCTGGCTCTTTGTACAATCTCACTGCCTGCAGTTGGGTTCTCATGGGGAACAGAATCAGCCGCAGAGCTTGACACGCAGACAAGAAGTATTTGACTTCATGTTGTAGCTGTAGCTTCTTGGGCCTGACTTTTCAGCAGCTCATCTGCTCAAGAGTACATTATTATCAACACTGGGTTCCTGTTTTCTCTTGTTACATGCTAATTAATGTCAGTAATTCACAAACGCATTTCACAAGCGCATTTCCTAACTGCTTAGTCTCATATATTTTAGTGGCAAAGTCCTTGAAGTATCCAACCTTCAACATAGAAAAATATTAAAATTGCATCCTGGCCTTGTAGGCTAAGGTTTTGGAGTTGCAGAGTTGAAGGGGGTATTTTACAGAAATTTCACTGACTTTACTGGGGCAAAAAACACAAAACCAACTATTCAAGGAGCCAGCTGAGACCCTGCAGCAGGAGCCTCTCAGAGCAGAGGGGATAGCTGAGCAGTCTGCCACGTGATGAAACAAACCTTTCAACACAGGGCAGAAAGGAGATGGAATTTTTTTCCAGGCCCTCCTCAAGAGCCAAAGTTAGCACTGCCCTGGGGTTTGCCTGCCCTTGCTGTGCCAAGCATGATAACCCACCTCAGTGCTATAGAGCCAGACCTAGGATATAGACCTGCCATCTTGTGTTCTCCATGGCCAACCTCCTGCTATACTTCCCTAGCTGAACAGGACCTCCTCTGTTCCTCTCTTTCCCTGAGGGAAGCCTGCTCAAGCACCTTCCTTGGAGAAATGTGCACAAGCTTATGGCCCTGGTGTGAGCCTGCAGGCAGCCCCTCCAGCCCCAGCCTTGCTTCCAGCTGGGCTCAGTCACAAACCTGGGTCACTGCAAGGCGGTGAGGAATATCTGTCCGACTATTCCTCCAACCCTGGTTCAGACTGTTTGTTGCAGCTGTAATAGTGAGCCCATTCTTTCTTTCCTCGTTCTTTGCACTGTTTTCTGTGTCCTAAACTGCTATTTCATTCATGCTTCTGCAGGGAGAAGACGGCCTTCCAGTTCAAGGCTGCTGGAATAAGGTAAAACAATCTGGTGGGGCTGTGCTGAATTGGCAGTGCATGCTGTCTGGCTGAGAGCAGCATAGGTGTGGAGGCATGCATGGGTTTTCCAGGACCATACCTCTGAGAAGCAGGAAGCAAAACTCTCCTTTGTTTTACACCAGTGTTCAGTTTCATGGGTCGAAAAAGGAGAGAATTGCATTCCCCGTGGCTGAGGAATTGGCACTAACGTTTGTTTATCTTTTCTTTTGCAGTGATTGTTCTAACCCTGGACTGGCCTGTGTGTGTTATTGTACATAGAATATTTATTTTTATACAGCATTCTTCTCTGAAATGCTCAAAGTTATGCGTTTTTACACATTATCAAGAAGCTGCGTATTTTTTGTACAGGAAATACTAGATCTCCCTTCATCCCTGTTTGTCAGTTCTCTGTGTATGTCTTCATTATGCTTGTTTTGTCATGGAGTACAGCTGTAATATTTACATGATATGTGTGTGCACATGATGGATATAGGAACTTAATAAATTATTGCATTAAAAGTGCCCAAAGGAACTGCCCTGTATACCTTCTAAAGCAACTTTCCTTTTTTTTCAAGCTGGAGTCATTCAAGATTATTTCAAAATATGACATATTTTTATTAAAGAAGAATGTTCACAGGTTTTTGTTGATTTAATTAAGGTATTCCTGGGAAAACATGCAGTATAATGGGAACTTAGAGATTCTCTGACTCATGGTTGTGGAACAAGATGATGTTTCATGAGCAGATTCAGACAGCCAAGTGCAACCCACCACAGTTCCTCAGGGCGGCCCAGTGCCCGTGCAGGAAAGGGAACACCTCAAAGGCCATACTGGGTGACTCTTGCCTCTGGCCTTAGCAGTTACTTACCTGGATTAACTCCCATGATGATAAGTCCAGGAATTTAAGAATCTTCCTGAATCATATGCCTGCAACTACCTTAATTAAAGCTTCATTTAAAATCAAACATATGGCCGAATACCTCGATGATATCCTAATGAATATTTATTAGATAAACCAATCCACGTGGCTCTTTTAATGCTAACCAAAGTTGCATGGAAATTTGCAGTGCATCATTATAATTTGCATGTGTACATCTTAACAATCCTCCTTGTCCTATCTTTGTCAATGTCTAAAGCCTAAACTATCCATCAAGAAAATAATCAGACTAAATGAATGTCACGACATGCTCAGAAAGTAAGCAGAAGCGTGGAAACCTGAAGTGAGTTTCATCCAAAAAGCAGCAGAGTTTCTACTGTCCCGAGTCCTTTGCTCTCTGCCCCACAGCTCCCCTCTCAGATTGCTCTGGGAGTCAGAAACTCCCTGTAACGTTCGTTATTTTTACGAACATGTCTTTGTATGCCAACATTGTCCTCTGGATGAAACTCTTCCACGTGCAATGAGATGCTCGGGGTGCTGGAAAAGAAAGAAAGCAAACTGCGGAACACTGAGAGATTCTTGTTTTCTCAGTACCATATCCCATTAATGTAATAAGAGCAGTACTTATTTAAGCATGGATGCCATAGAGCTCCAGTGTTTTAATTAGGCACCTGTTGAACACAAAGCAATAAAACCCCAACCAGCTGGCAGGATTGGTTTGGGAAGGTGATAGCAGCAGCTGCAGTGAATGTCTTATCTGGTCGTATAACATTGGGCTCTAAGGTAGGTAATTTGAATGCTTCACTCCTCCCTAAAAATGCTGGCTATAGTTCATCCTCAAAAACATACAGATCCGTGGAAGAATCTGCTGGTAACTTCTGTTCCCTTTGCTGTCTGTTGTGTTTTTCTTTTTTAACTGTTGCTTGTGGTTGTAACTGCATGAGGCTGCCTTTGTTTGGATTTGCTCCATCATAAAAGAAACATTGGTGTTGTCTTCATGTAGCTGCTTGCCTATCACAAGAGTAGGAAAACAGTGACATGCGTGGTGGTTGCTGCTGACCACAGCCTGCCTTTGTTGTGTATTTTGAACTGAAGCAGATAGGTGTTTCACACTGCATGAACGTGAGGGCTGTGGGAATAGAAAACTCATCATCTGATGTAGATAAATCAGAGGTTGCAAATCAGAGTGCAATTGTGCCGACCCAAATATAAGTGCCTCACAATTCTAGAACAACCCCCAAAGAACTGAAGTTGGGTTTGTGCCGTGCCAAATGCAATGGTTCCATTTCTGGATCCCTGCCTGCTAAAATCTGTAGCTAGGCTGTCACTGTTTGTTGTTAGCTCTGACTGGCCGTTCTCATGTGAAATCCTTTGTCTGCTGCTTCAAGGGTCAAACTCCTTGGCTGATAGCCAAAAAGTGAGATGAGTCTGAGAGTGGAGAAGCTTGAGAAATGACAGCAAAAAAAAAAAAAAAAAAAGGCAAGAAGGACCTTCCTGAAGATTTGCTGAGATGCTTTGCAAGTTCCCTCCCTGGAGCTTAGGAAGAGTTCTTCAACTGCACGCCAGGAAGCTGTGCCTGGATAACGGCACCGCGGGAGTCAGCGTGACAACACTCTTTGCTTTGCTTCCTGTCTCCTCTCAGAGGCCAGTGGCAGAGCTGGAAAATGACACCGTTTATATTATTAATATTTTTTCCTTTGGTCCTTTTCACTTCAGTTTATTATTGTGGTCAGACTCTTCAGATGAAGAATCAGGCTCCTGTCCCAGCAATCGCTGTATAAGTGAGTGCAGGACAGACAGTATTTCAGTGGGGGGATCTTTTGATCCAGGAAAGAAATCCTCTTGAACAGTTGTCTTCCAACAAGTCAGTCAAGCCCCACGTGTTCAGTTTGGAGTGCTGCTCTGAGAGGGCGTGAGGAAATCTTTTCCTACCATCTTTGGTTACCAGCTGACAAACTTCCACCTATACCTTTGATGATTCCATCTTTAACCTTTTCATCACACGCCACCTTCTCCTGGTAAAGGAGAAAGGATCTAAGCCTTTTGCTGAAAAGGGAAAGCCGTGCTGGATTTTGAAGGCGTGAAGTAGCTTGTCAGAGAAAGAAAATGAGGAGTATGGACAACGGAGTTTCACTGAACGGTTCCTTTGCTTCTTGTCCTTTGCTTCCTGGAGGTATTTTGTCTGGAGCCCTCATGGAATACACTATTCTGCTGTCCTACTGAGGCCCTTCTGGTGGGTACCTCTCTGTAGGTGTACTTACAGATGGAAATTAATGATCACAAGGGTTGAGTCCCACGGTGACGTGTTCTAATACCTTCAGGTTAAGGAAATCATGATTTGGCAAGGTGCTGCGGGGTGCCAAGGATGCTTCCCAGCCACTGGAAGGTCAGGACATCCAGCTGGGGATACTTCTTATCAACCCAGCTTCCCTCGCTCAGTTCCCATTGCTGAAGATTAAATTCCATTTGCATGTACTCTGTAGTATTTTTCCACCAAAGCTCTTGCAATATGTTAAAAAACTGAAATTAATTACTGCAGATGTATACTGCAGACATGACTCATAACATTTCTACTCCATTGAGTACCTTGGGAATCCAATTTATCCAAGCATTAAAACACATATTTAACTTTGTGCGTGTGATTCCCGTTGGCCTAAAAGCTACTAATTGCATATTTAAGTACTCTGGTGAATCAAGGCCATTATTACAGCTAATAATGTTATCTAAGCCATTAGGCAGAACTAAATCATAAACCACTCTTGTTTCTTCAGAGAGAAAGAGCTGATTTTGAGTTCATAATGATCTATTTTAAAGTCGAGGAAGCCCCAAATACTTCTGGGGCCTTCATTCGTTCTGTAACCTTCATTCGAATAGCCTTGGTCAATTCAGCTGGAATAGTCCTGCCCTTCTGGTATCCCATGGACACCTCACCATTGCACAGAAAGTATACTGTATATAATGTAACTCAAGAATTAACAAGTCCTACTTCTAGTCTCACCTGAACAATAGAACCCTAATTGCAATTTTTATCTTTACACCTACGAGATTTATTCCATAAGTACAGTAGAAAGGGAATATGTTGTTCAGTTAGGAACCAGGCTGATGAAGGGGTTACTCTATTTTATTTGTAGTTCTTATTTTTATGTGTTTGTTCTTTTTTTTGGGGGGGGGGAGAGGGGAAGGGGAGAACCTGACCAGAACTGCAGGCGGTAGGTGTGCATTTTTCCTTCTTTTTTTTTTCTTTTTTATAGCAAAACCAATTATGTATATAGTTTGATAACATTACTTCTACATTTCTTTTTATTAATGATATTTTTGGAGCGATGTGTTGGCTCTTTTCTAGAGTTTCCCTTTAAATATATTTTTAATGGGCTTCTGGAATAAGTTTGTAGAAGTTCCCGACCCAAAGTGTCCTGAGGACATTCCTGTTGTGTTGTTTATTTTTTCTCCCTAAGTGCAACAGTAAGATGGTGCTTTCCATAGGCAAACCAATTTTCAGCAGGGATGAATGCATCCCCACAGGCCGTGCCTAGGGACCAGGTGCCAGTGACCTCTCCCGGACGAAATGGTTTCTCTAGAACTCTACACCTAGAGAACTTAAAAGGGCTACGTGACAGGCCAGCTGATTGAAAATGGTCTCTCCTGTTCTTAAGTGGTCTGTCATAACAAAATGAGTCTGGCAAGAGTCACTGTGTTCTCTTCAGTAGCATTCTACAGCCTAAAATCTCGCCGACTTAGCTAAGAAGCTCTGAACCAGCAATGAAAGATGTTTCTTGAGAACGGCACACTCTTGGTAGTTACTTACTACATTGTTGCTACTGTTTTCCCCTCTAAACCCAGCAGTTTACTTCCTCTTGAGCTCGTCCTTGGGCTTTGCTTCACGCTGAGCATGCTCAACAGGATGATGCTTTGCTGGATGAGGGCAACCATTTCTTCTACACATTTTGTTTCTCCCTTTGCCCTGTATTGCTTCCTGTTTTTCATGGCCCAAGCAAAATGGGTATTTTCTCTTCTGCATTTTTAGAAATGCTCAATTGATCACATTTTGATCGTTCTTCCAATCACTTTTATTTATTTATCCTTCCCGCCCTCTTGTAGCCCTTTGTTGTCAAAACAGAACATGAATTAATACTGTAGCTGTTTCAGGAGTTGACTGTAAAGCTTCTACTGTTTAAAATGCTACACAGCAAGACCAGTTTAGCTTTATAGTTTTCCTTTGATTGTTTGCTTGCTGAAGTTATCAAATAAATACTTTTTCTAAAACAGAAAGAATTAGTTTTATTGGAGGTTTGTTGGTTTTTTGTTTGTTTGTTTGTTTTTTGTCATTTGCTTATGAAAATCCTGCTAGACTCAAGGTTAGTAAGTTAAATGTGTTAGTGATAAATGCGAGAGGATCTTGTATTCTTGCTTTCTCTTGGCTGTGTTTGCCAATCCATTGTTCCCAGCAGGGTTTGCCGGGAGCGTGAAATTCCATTTTGTGATAATTCCATTGTTTTCTCACAATATTGTTTCAAAATATTTCTTCAGTAAATCTTCCCTTCTGCTCTCCTGCAAAGATTTGCTTTTACCCTGATGTTGCACGCAAGTGGCAGAGCCACGGAGAGAGCAGCTTCACCCTTCTGGAGAGTCTTGTAGAGAAAGCATGCCATCCCTTGGTGCTTGCATCTGGAACGCTCACGTCATTGGCACTGCACCCAGCTCTCACCTTTGTGCAACCTGGGCACCACATCATCTGATGCTGGTCAGATGTGAGTTCACTAATCCCTGCAGGAGGATGATTTCTGAAGCAATTAGTTGTTGCATAAGTGGTTTCCTTGAATTGTACGAGAGATTTTTAGTTTTTCTTTGGTGGCATAGAACGCACAGTACTTAATACAGCCGTAGTGATGAGTTATGGGTAAACACTGACAGGGCATTGCTTCTGTGCGTCTCTTGAACACTGTTTGACTGACACATCTGAGTCTGTATTTGCTTTTTACACTGCTTATACTGAACTTTTATTAATATTAAATATAGAACTCTATTTGGCTTTCATTGCTGTAACATGATTTTGTATTAGTGGTCATTATTGTTGTTACACTGCTGACACTAAGGCGTTATTTCAACTCCTTTTGATGCAGCTTGGAATTTTTAGGCCTTTAAGAAAATTCCACACTAAATAATTGATCCGAGGGAGAGAACAAAGGCCTGTTCTTTCCCATCATCTTTTCATCCTTAGCGGGAGCTTCTTCAGCCAGAACGAGTATTTGCTGTTTCTTTTCTACTTTTTCCTTGGTAATTCAAGAGCTTTGATTGTTTTTTGTCTTTAAACCATACGTATTCCAGGACAATCTGCATTTGTTACGTATGATGTACATACTTTCTTTTCCCTTTTATAAAAATACCTGTTTACTTATGCATAGTTTGTCTTTTCTTTTAACGCCAGCTGATAAATCGTGAATTCTCTGACCCCTTTTCTCACTTGGGGATGATTTTCAGATCAACATTGTAAGGAAACCACGCCATCTGCTGTTAGTTGGTCACTCTGCTGACTGGGAACTAGGTGGGTGACACGTCTCAACCCATTTGGTAGATGGACAGAAGTCCCAAACATACTCGTACCACCGCACCAACCTCATGGAGGTAACTGACTACAGGACAGAGTCCCAGAGTCCGACTTGGTGCCTGTGCTAAGGGAAAGGCAGCAATACCACTGGAGCTGTATTACTGGAGGCCAGAGATCCCGAATCCTCCTGCTGCCTGACCAGCCTTATCCTAAAACCTGAAATAACTCAGCCACAAAACACAAAGCTACTTGAGTTGTGACACTGAGAGGAATTTAGTAAACAGGGAAATGGAGCCAAGACCAGAGGAAGCAGAGGCTGACTCTGAATGGCTATGCCTGTACTTCGATCACCGTGATTATCGGTTTGGCGTGACATCCTGTTTCCACTAAATACTGAGGCAATCAATAACAAGGCACATGCCATTCTCAAAACCCAAGAGCTGTTGGCTAAGGGACCTGGCTCAAGTAAAATCTGATCTTTTTTTGTTTTCTAGGAATGATTAGGGAGAACAAACAAAAACCCAAAAAACTGAGCCTTTGGGGACGGCAGAACCTGGCCTGTTGCCTTGCTTTTGGCAAGGCATGGTGACAAGGGGAAGGTTCCTTTGGCTTCGAGTGCCATGACAGCTATAGTAGTGATCGCACTGTACCCAAGCAGTATATTCATCTCGTCTAACTCGAGACATCTGAAAATTAGACTGCTACCCCAGAGCACGCTCCTCTTGGCTAAACAGGAGCTCAATATCTGAATAGCGTTCCTTTAGAGGTACGGAGGGGTGAGCAGAAAGAATCAGCTGTGCCCTTTCAGTCTCTTTGCTCAAGGCCCTAACGTGTTTAATTATTCAGAGGAGCCATTCCATACGTGCGATCACCATGCCACCTCTCCCTGCACCTTGCCTGTCTATGGCTATTGTTTCTGAGCTCTGGAGAATAAAACAGATTATTCCTTAACCAAATATAATATTTCCTCTTTTTTTTTTTTTTTTTCCTCCCTCATTCTTTTTTTCAGTATTTCCAAAAGATATTGTTGTCAGTCCAATGATACACTCCTATTTTAATAACAGTCTACAACAAGAGAGTTCTCCAAAATATGAGGATTTAGCTTCTCTACTCCATTGAAGTGCTTGCTGTGCAAAACCTACTGGCACTACAAAGCCATGCACACTGCAGAGGATGGAGGAGGGATGACTGCAAATGGAAAAAGCAAAGTCATGACAGAAATATGGATTACTTGCAGAACTCAGTTATCTCATGCGTTATCTACTGCCATAATATATACACACATCAATTTTGATCGTATTAGGCTATCCTAATGACATGACAACACTTGTACTGATTTGATAAAACTCCCGGATTATATACATATCTAAGTCAGAGCTTCCAGAGAACTTGACATCAGCACACTGCCAGGGCTCCCCTGGATGCCCGCCAGCTTAAGCAAGAGTTGAGGCCATAGCTTTCAGTTCTGACGTTATGAAATATTCATTGCTATGTTTGAGATATAACAGCTTCTGTCCAAAAGCGAGAGTGCCATAAACAGGCTGTGCTTCTGCTCACTGGTGAGTGAGGCATTCAGCAGTCTATAACTGCTCTGTCAATAGATAGGTTGTTTATTTTGACAAAGTAACAGCCTGTGTTTGCGCTGAGAAGTCAACCAGCAGATGGTCTTTGCATAACCTAGCAAGGGCAGTCTCCGCAAGCTCTCAATCCAACGCTGTCCATTTTCTGCCTGAGGAATGCCAGTTGTTAACAATTTTCCCCCAGTGACTAGTTTTAACAGACCAGAACACGAAGCTACCCCGACCAAGAACATCGGGTGGTCAGTCATCCTCTGCACAGCAGGAATGGCGGAGAGAACCACCTTCATCACGTCCTCACTGTGTAGCGCAGGGAACCCCACCGCCTGCTGCTTTTGTGTGTCACAGCTCAGCTCAGCACTGACCGTGGAGCTGGGAACTAAACGCACTTGGATCCTTTTTTACAAAAAGACATGAACCTCTGCTATCTCACTAAGCAATAGGATGGTGCCCCATACATCTACCAGTAAAGCTGCAGTCAGCTTCATCCAGCTCTAGCACAGAGATTCCCATCTCTAGTGCTTCCACCCCAGGAGACCTGCACAGCCAAGCACCCAAGGAGAAGAAAGAGAAGCCCCTTGAGGCAGGGCTGTAATGAGAAACCACTCCTCATCACGCATCACAACCATTCTGGGCCCAGAGTGGGGGAAAGAGAAGCGATTCCAAAGCATTAAAGCACAGGTGTACGGTTCTTGTTGAACAACTTGCTTTATTTCCATCCTAAAGCCCAGCCGTTGTGGGCAGAGCATCTCAGTAGGATCACAGCGAGGGGCGCCCGGCTGACACCAGTCACACCCTTTCCTTTGGGAGACGGCGCGATCCGCAGCGTGCGTAACCCGGAGGAACACCTTATAGCTCGAATTCCTTACCGAGCGCAATTGCATAGGGGCACAAGCGTTTCCTCCGGCCGAGCCAAGCTCCAGCTCCAGCCAGCCGGCAACCCTCGGCGGTTTTTCCAGCAACAAAGAGATCGCTGGATGCACGGGTGCCTCCATGGCCGCGCTGGAGCCACCTGCTCAGCGCTGCGCCTTCCCTGCAGCCCCCCAGCATCACCCAGGAGAAGGCAGCGCGCGGCGTCAGCGCACGACCGACACAGCACCCCGTTACACGGCAGGCTGCCCCCGGGATCGCGCACTCAACGGCGTTAAGGCGCCCGTTCGCTTCGGCACCGCCGACAGCCGTCGGACTCGCTACGCCAGCGCTCGGGGCGCAGCGCGGAGGTCTCCCGTCCGCACAACGGCGGGGAGAAATAAAAGCAGGCCCCGCGCTTTCGTTCGGCCGGCAGCCCGGCGGCGGTCGCTCGCACGCGAAGCGAAGCGCTCCCGCGACACAAAGAGCGCCGGCTCCCTTTGTTCGGGAGGCGGCCGGGGCTCCGGCCGGGCCCGCTGCCCGCAGCCCGGCGGGGGAGGAGGCGGCGGCCCTGGGGCCCGGGGAGGGCGGCGGCGAGAGGGGGGCTGCAGCGGGGCCGGGGACTGACTCCTCCTAGAGGCGGTATGCGGCGCGGGAGGAAACCCCTGCCACCCCCCTCGAGAGGAGCCGCCGCCATCGCCATCCCAACGTACGGCACGGGCGGGGAGCGGCGGCTGAGGCGGAGCGAGCGGGGGCCGGGGGGCGGCGAGAGACCGAGCGCGGCACGCCGAGAGGAGGCGGCGGGAGCGGCAGGTGAGGGGCGGCGCGGGGCCGCGGGCGGCACTTCTCCCCGCCCGGAACCCCCTCCTCCGCCGGTCCTTTCTCCGCGCCGGGAGCGGAATGGCGGCGGCGGCGGCGGCGCCGAGGGGAGCGACGGCCGCGGGGCGGCCGCTGGGGCGCCGGAGGGCGAAAGGCCTCCCCGGAGGAGCCGCGGCGCGGCGGGGCTCGGCGCTTCCCGTTCCGGCCGCGGCCGCCGCCCCTCGGCGGGGAAGCGACGCGGCGGCGGGAGAGAGCCGGGGGGGGCGGCGGCGGGGGACGGAGGGGGGCGTGCGCGCGGGAAAGCGGCGGCAGCGCCTCCCCGCCGCCTCGCCGTAGGGCGCGTGCGCGCCGCCGGCCAATGGGAGCGCTCGGCCCGGCCCGCGCGCAGGTGTGGCTGGCGCTCCGGCCAATCCGAGGGCGGGGCGGGCGCGCGGCGCGCGTGCTAACGGTCGGCGCCGCCTCGGGGCCGCCCCGGTGGGCGTCGTGTGAGGGGCGGCGCGGGGTCCTGAGGGAGCGGCGCGGCTGGGAGCTGCCGGCGGCGCGTGCGGGGAACGCCTGCTTTGGGCCGGGAGGAGCGGGTGTCAGCTGCGAGCGGAGCGGGAATGAGGCAGAGCCCTTTGCGACGAGCGCGAGGAAGCCGCCGCTGGTCGCCCTGGGGAGGGCGCAATTCCCGGAGGAAGGCCCGGCTTACAGAAGTCTGCCTTATTTCCTTTGTGTTGCACAGCTGTGGGAGACCTGGTGGCTGTTAAATCCCCCGTAGCAACGCGCGGGTGTTGGTGTTGCAGTGGAGTAGGTGTGAGGCGTGACCAATTAGGGTGGGAATGCTAATTGCTGTAAAGTGCCCGAGCCTGGTGATGTCGCGTTAGCCACGTGTAGGCGCTGCTCTGCCAACGCAGCGAGGATGGACTTGGAGTAAACGCCGTGGAGATGGTTTTATTGGAGACTTTAGTTTATAAGGGCAGACCCAGAGACAGTGCATCGGTTGGCGGTGAGGGAGCTGGTGTAGGTGGACTCGAGTGTTTTTCAGCTGATGAGCCCTCGGCATTGAATTGCGTCACCTAAGGAGAACGGCTGGGGCAGCGGCGCTCAGCTTGTAGCCGTTGGCAGCCTTGGTGCGGTTCGGATGGGCACACGGTGTAGCCGTGTCAGGGTGAGCAGGTGAGCGTCCTCACAGGTAAACCAGGCCCCTGCCTGTGGGAGAGATGAGCCACCCAGGCCCACTGTTGCACTTAGGCTGATGGAAAATTGTGCACGTGTTCCTGCTCTGATATCTGCAGCATGTTTGGAAAAGCACCTGGGGAAACCGAAGGCTGCCTTGAGAGTAGGGGAAGAGATGGGTGAGACTTGCAGAGACTGAGGAAGTAATTTGAAGACAGAAGAATGAGCCAAACATCTAATTGCACACAAAAGTGTGTGTATTGTAACAGCATGCCTGGAGCAGTGTGCTTAGTTGTTATACAAACACATTTTGGTTTTCTATCAGATCAAGCACAACCCAAGTATTGTCTGTGAATGCAAACCTCATGATGTTTGCTTTTTGTATTTCATTCCTTTTCTCCCCATTGATTTACAAGCAAATGGGATTTGGATTACTACAGCAAATATATGAGACGTTAATACAGCTTAGATGCGTGCTCCTTAGTTGTGTATTCTTTGGTACAGAATGCTGACTGCCGACCTGTCCATCTTGCACAACTTCTCACTCCCACATAAATGCAATTAATGCATTGCTTGGGAAATGCTGCCACTTAGAGCTGCTTCTGCTTTTTAATCCCCACCTGTAAATGGAAGTTTATGAGCTCGTTTACCACCCCTGGCAATCCCAGGCTGGTGGTGCTCTGGGAATTCCAAATGGGATGATGAGCGACATAAGTTTTGATGTGTCCATGTCTGGTAGGTTTGCTGGTTTAATCTTTTCCAACTTGTATTGTTGTACCCATATAATTTTCTTTACTGCGTGCCATATATTATGTGGATGATAGATGGGGATACACCAGGGTTTTATGGACCACTGCAGACCTTCTGGTAGTTGAATTTTCTTGACATCACGAGCAGAATGAGCGTTCAGGTCAGGTTGTTGCAGACACCCACCCTTGAATTTGGCTGTCTGGGGTAAGCTGGCTTCAGTAAATGTCTGGGATAAGTGACCCTCTGTGCAGAAGAACCAATTTGTCATAAGCTCCTCATCGACTTCAGAGGAGCGGATCTTGATCTGTTACATTGTAACAAAGACAATAACTATGCCTAAAGCAGTGACCAAAATGGAACTAAAAACAAGTTTTGGAAACAGTTAACAGCTTCCATGTTATTTGACCAGGAGTGAGAACTTCGCTACTCTTTAAGACCAGTGGCATGCTAAGGTGATGGGGCTGGCTCCAGGCTTGTCTTTTTTTTTTTTTTATATATATGGAAAAGCAAGGAGAAAACAAGATTTATTTTTGTTTCTCCTTTGTACAGCCTGGAGTGGCTCTTGATGTGGGGAAAAAGGCCTTCAGAAAGTTCAGCTGAGCCTGAGTTTAGATTTCTTCTTCTGGAAGAAAAAGGTGATGATGTTTAAAGATGTTCCTCACTTGCTGAGCACTGATCCTATTTCTTTTCTCTTGCAGCTGTCAGCTTGGAGCAAGGGAATAAGAATCGCTAGCAAACTGAAAAGCACAAAGCTGCAAGATGTCAGGCCGCAGTGGGAAGAAGAAAATGTCCAAGCTGTCACGCTCCAGCAGGGCAGGTGTTATTTTCCCCGTGGGGAGGATGATGCGCTACTTAAAGAAAGGAACGTACAAGTACCGGATAGGTGTTGGAGCACCGGTTTACATGGCAGCTGTCATAGAGTATCTAGCAGGTAAACAGAGAGCCTGATACTGGAGGTGCTGGGTGCACAGTGTCTGTGGGATGAGATGTGAGCGTGCTCAGCACCTCTGAGAAGTGCGGGATGTGTTGACATTTGCTTAAAATGCTCACAGCGATGAATTTGCTTCTGGAAGAGGCTGAGGATGGCAATCCCCTCCTTCAGAAGTGTGATGGTTGGTCACTGGTTGGAGGGGTTGCTTCTTATTGCCATGTGAGTGAGGAGTTGCGTGGGGTAGTTTGTAAGAGAAAACTACATAAGGCTTTGTTGCTTCACCAACAGGAGAGGACAGAATGCAAGCTTGCTTTGTGCATGTATGGTGTGTTTGAAGTGAGCAAACTGTTGTGTTTCTGTCCTTGCAGAACAGTGTCAAAATGTTATGAAATAAGGAGGTGGTTCATTAGTATTAAAAAAAAAACAAAAACATCTTTTTGGCTTGCTTTATGAAATCCTCCTAACAGAAGGTGCAGGTGTCACGCTGTGATACTGTATGGTTTGATGTATTGCACTAGTTTGGCTTGCCCTCTGAACCTCCTTAGTTAGGTGTGGAGAACAGCTCCTTACCAGATTGTTGCAACACCCAGTGGAGAGAGGATTCTAGTTCAAGTTGCTTACGAGTTACAGATCAAGACTGAGGTGCATTAGAGAATCTCCATCTCCTTTAGGAGTTAAGTATGGAGTTGGTTTTAAAACAAAACACTATTGAAAAGCAGAATTGAAATCCAAGGTGCTGAGCGTATCTCCCTCTGCTTTTTGTGTAATACCATGTAAGAGCTAACGTGTTTGTATTTTCCACTTGCCTTCCTTCATAGAGTAGGATCAATTCTAAATGATTTTGGAGGAAACCCTTCTCTTCGTTACAAACATTCGTGTGCTTGTAGTTGCACAATCTCGTTTCATGCATTAGAAATCAAACCTTCCAACTACAGGAATCTCGCAATGGAGCTGGTGCATTTGTGTTCTTCCAGGGAAATCCATAGCTTGCAGAGCTTCCTTTGGTGTCTGTCTCAGAAAATTGCTAGATACGTAGGCTTCTCAGAAGCAGGTTGAATTGTTTTATTTTGCTATACTAAAGCATGTTAAAGAACTTTTCATGGAGCTGATCCTTACGAGATAAGAATGCTGACATAAGAGGCAGCTGAGGGTGCTTCTGTTTAGTGGGGAAGAGTTGAACTGAGGACTGGGGTGGTAACTGGCAGAGGGTGTCCAAACAGCGAGACACAGCACTGGAGAGCAAGTTGGGAAAAGAGGGACTGGGAGAAGGAAGGTGCTGCTGGTGAAGAGCTTAGCAAGAAAGACCAAGTGTGAGAAGAGTAGATGGAGGCAGAAATGAGGTCCAGGAAGGAAGCTGAGATAGAAGTGTCAGGTGTAGGTTGCTCAGGGAAGGAGGATAGGCAGGGAAAGCAGTCATGGTTGGAAAATGGGCAGGGTGGATGAGGCAGGAGGTGCCAGGTTGGTGTCTGTGTAGAACATAGGATGGACTCTTCCAGGAGTGTTCAGCCATGTCTGTGGTTTATCAATGGCTTGAAGTGCTGAGCCTCTTGACTGGCATCTTCCAATGGTGTGCACACTCCCCTGAACATCCTCATTCCAGCCACCATGTGGTCTGCTTTTGGCTTTGGGACATGTTCTGTGCCACTAGATCCCCCTTTTCCTTTGCAAGAAGGGTTGTGGCTGCAACCCATAGCTGTTACTAATGCTGAACTTGAGACTTGGCTTATCAGCTCCATTTTAAAAATGCCAGCAATGAGTACAACATATCTTGAGAAGAATTTCTTTTTACCTCGACTGATTAGCTAATGTGAGAAAGATCTTATCAGGGATCTAAAGCTTTTTTTTTTTTAATCTCTCTATCATGTTTCATATCTTAGGCTTGAGAAGTTATATTGCAAAATTGCAGCTTAATTTCTATCCAGAAGCTTGTGTTGTATTGTGCCCAATGCTGTTGGGCTCCACTGCCTTCAGAATCAAAAATGTGTGAAGAATTGACCTCAATCTCATTGGATTAGTGGACTTTGCAACACATGTGTGCCAGTTGGGTGTGGCTGACTTTAGTCATCATCATTTAAGTCAAGCATCATTTGAATGTGTCCCATAATGTACCTTACCAAAATGTAGGCAGAGAATTTGGACAGCTCTTGCTTAAGAAGCAGTAGAAATACGAGTGGTGTGCTGGTGAGAGGAGCTGACAACACCAGCAAGGCTTCCTCCTTCAGAGGACATCAGCTGGCACACTCCTTGGTCAGGCTGTACTCATGTGCTGTCAAGAGGCAAATGGAGCAGATATTTCTCCACTTGTGAATGGACAAAACTCCATCTGATACATCTTTGCAGGCCAGAGGTGTTAGTGGGCAGATTTGTACATGGAAAGGTTACTGGAACTGCCAGAACTATCTTGAAGTGTCTGAAATCCTTTCACTTCTATAATCAGTAGCTGGCATTTATCTTCCTTACCAGTCCAGTGCTTCAGAAAAGCAGGCTGGGCTCAACTGAACATGCAGCTTTGATTTGACTGTGATGCTTTTTGTTCCCACGTGGTCCAAATCAGTTGATTCATCAGCTAAAAAAATCTCTTTTTTCCTGTGTGTCACAGGAAAAGAAGATGGAATTCCATTCGGGTTGTAGGTTGGCTGCTGCTTTTGTTGGTTGTAAAACAGGTACTTTCCTAGTCCTGAACACTAATCAAACAGGGTAAAAAGCATCTATTAAAAAGACTTAAAACATCTGTTGGAGTTCACTTACGCAAGTCCAAGATCCAGACACAGTAATGCTCAGTATTCTGTACTATCTATTAGTCAAGAGTCCAAGAAACTCCTTGATTTTAAATGCAGGTAATGTGATCACCTACATCTGAGCTTTAATCACGTGTGTGTTGTGTGGAGTTGGGCCAGTCGAAATTTGAAGTTACGCTTCCAGTGTGGAGGCATTTTATATGAATTTTGAATCTTAAGGGAAGCAAGGTTATTTCAGATTTCACTTCAATTTTTAATGCTGCTCAGACGTAAAATAAAATAAGTCTGAGAACATCCAGATCCCGATTTCAAGAGAGCTTCGTGTAGTGTAGGGCCTTGCTGTGGGAGTTACATTCTCAGACTGCTGTCTCTGTAGAGTTAAGATGACCTCAGCTGCCAGTGATGTTTCTGCTTGAAATGTGAAACAGTTTCTTTAGGGATCTGTTCTTACCAGCAGAGGATATGATAGCTTCAGCTTCCAGATTTAATAGTTTTGGTTTGTTGTTTTTGCAAGTGCCATTTTGTATTCTTAAGACTATGACTCCCTACCTCCATTCTGAAGCCTCCAGCGTTAGAAGAATATGCATATAAAGAATCATTAGAAGGAGCTAAGGCAATTATTTACCTATGCAAATAATTGGCATCCTTTGTTAAGTTATTTATATGCATATTCTGCAGTCTGCCCTACATCATCTCTGCCTTGGATCCCCTTCTTCCTGGTGTCCTATGGTAGATGAAAAGTGCCTGGCATTTGAGTGTTCTGCCTTTTTTGCTCTCAACATTAGGCAGAGGACATTTGAATGCACCATCAGGATGCTGCTGGCCAAAGGACCCAGAGCCTGGGGGAGTGGGGTGAGCACACGGTTAGCAGGATGTGCTTGTTGTTGGCACATCTGAAAGAACTTCAGTTACCACACAGGTAAGTATGTCTTCTTTTTTTTTTTTTTTTCTTCCTGCTGCAATTTTCATCTGCTGTCAGCATAAATCTGCAAAACCTGCTGGAGAAGTATGGGTCTCTTTTCTTGCTCTATGCTGGTCTGCACACTGGATGGCAATCTGTTCCTGCTGTCTGCTACTGCATTAGCTCCACTGGCAGAGGTCAGGGATCTGAAAGCTCCAGCCCTGCAGTCCCATGGCATGTAATTTTAAACAATGGCTTTTACATCTTCAACAGTTAGTTACGTATGCTCTGTAGGAGTGAAAGCTGGATGACAAGGTTGCACTTCTCTTATTCTCACTGAGAGAAACGGAAAGCTGGTCTCTTTCCCATGATCCCAGAGCTAAACCTCTTGTTGAAATCCTCTGGATTTTAGCCTGAGAGCGTTAGGTGGATTCCCACGAGATTTTTCATGGAAATTCTTCAAATAGTTACAGTTCTTTGTGTAATTGATTAAATGGGAGTAAGATACCTTCAGCAGAACATTGATGAGCTGTAACTTTTTTTACCCATATTGTTGACAAAACCAAGACAGGAGCACTGTCCCAGGAGGCACAGAAAACTTTCTACCAGCAGTTCTTACATTGAAGCTCTTATGTTGTCTCTCTGCTTGCATCTAAGTCAAACCTTTCATATCTTGTTTTGAAATAAAGCTTTTCACAGATCTTCAATGCCCTTTAATGCAAAATTGCAGCGTTGCCTGGCTGGTTTGCTGGCTTTCAAAGTATTTCTTTAAATGCACCTCAGTCTTTGTCTTACTTGGTCCTGAGAATCCTTGCTGTTTTGTCAGAACTGTCTGAACAAAGTTTGGGGTTTCACTGCATGCTTTGCTGTTCTGTTGTTACAGGTCTGTTGCTAAATTTTGGACTGCTTATGTACATTTTTGAAGTGTGTTTGTCCTTTTTTTTTTTTATTATTACTTGAAAGAGGATTCTGGTGTGAGAGTCATTAATGAAGTTATGTGAAGCAAACTTAGTTTCCTGCTAACTGTCCTTCAGGGAATTAGGGAGGACAAATGATTTTATGTAAGTTTACAAATATATTGGCTGTCATTTGTTGTCTGCGTTTCTGTGTCAAAGATCATTGAAATGGGGAAATACCCCTGAAAAGGTAAATGGATATTGAAAAGGAATGTGAAAAGTGTATACGGGGTGCACGCAAGTTGCATTTTTATTACTCCCTTTTATCTCACTGTTTCTTGCAGCTGAAATTCTAGAACTGGCAGGAAATGCAGCGAGAGACAACAAGAAAGGAAGGATTGCCCCCAGACACATCCTCCTGGCAGTAGCAAACGATGAAGAGCTGAATCAGGTACTCCCTTGTATTGCAGTGTGAGGGTTGGCTGCTGTAGCATGAACATGATCATCTCCAGTACTTATCAAAAATATGCTACATAGGCAACATGCTTCCAAAAGCTGTAGAAGTGTGCATTTGCTACTGCACTATGAGGCTACTGCACTACTCCCCACCATCTTGGGGAGGGTCTGGCTCACTCTCTGGTATAGCTGCATCCAGGACTGCATCCCCTTCTAAATGCCTGAGTCCCATTAGCACACAGACCGTTGTTTGCAGTGCTTTGACTTTGAGAATTGACTGTGGAATACTTCTGCATGCCTGCAGATGCATATCTCCTCTCATGCTCATCCACTGCTTGTGGGTCACCAAGATAAGCAGAAAGACTGCGAGACTGAATGTAAAGCAGCAGTTCACTGGGGTGTGCTGACTAATTTCACTGGGATGTGCTAGATTTTCTTTCTTAGTGGGGTTTTCTTCTGATACACAAAGCGCATTGCTTTAGGAAATGTGTGCTCTACATGTGTATAGTGCAGTCAGCAAAGATTGCTTGAGTGCAGACAAAGAGAAACCATAACTTGCTCCTTTGTACTGCTTTTCCTTGCAGTTGCTAAAAGGTGTGACTATAGCAAGTGGAGGGGTCCTGCCCAGAATTCAGCCAGAGCTTCTAGCCAAGAAACGGGGTGCCAAAGGCAAATCTGAGACAATCCTTTCCCCTGCCCCTGAGAAGAAGGGAAGGAAATCCATGGTGAGCAAAAAGAGTGGGAAGAAAGCGAAATCTAACAAGGCCCGGACACCTAAAAAGGTAAACTTGGGGCAGATATGGAATTCAGGGTGTGTGCCAGAAGAATTGGATCCAAACCAGCTATGATTATGAGGAGGAATAAATTTGTGCCTCTGCATTAGTTATTTGTTGATCCCAACTGGAAACAGGAAGTAGGAGTTGATAGTAGACATATCAGAAATAAAGGGGAAGGTGATTTTTGCAGTATTTCTGTAATGAATTTCCATAACAGAAACCTTTAAAACTCAAGAGGAAACTTTCCAGATTTCCACGTCACCTCCAAAGTAGTTCTTTGATAACTATGTAGAATCTTCATACTAAGTGTGTGGCTTCTAAAATACAAGAAACTGTATTTTACATCTCTTCCTATTTGAGAGATGTTATACCTTCAGCCTTCTTACAGGTACCAGGTTGCTGTTAAGTATATATCAGTGTCTTGAAAACTCGTCATAAATGACTTTTATGTACCATGTCATGGCAAGCATTCTGGTTCGTATCTTCTTAAGGGTGCTGTATTAAATGGTTTTTGACAGAATTATGAGAAGAAATGAAACAGAACACTACCACTGCACCTTCCCTCTCAGTTGCCCACTGTCCCAAATCTATCACTATCCCAAATGGTTTAATTTATTAAAGCAATAAACAGAGAGCTCCTTTTAGTTTGTTGTTCCAAAGCTTGAATGTTAAACATGACTAATCCCTACAGAGGGACCTGGACAGGCTGGATTGCTGGTCTGGGGCCAGTGGGCTGAAGCTCAACAAGTCTCAGTGCCACAACAACCTCAGGCATTGCTACATGCTTGGGGCAGAGTGGCTGGAAGACTGTGTGGCAGAAAAACATGTAGCACTAAGGGACGTGAGTTAGTGGGCATGGTGGTGATGGGCTGGGGGTTGGACTAGGTAATCTTAGAGGTCCTTTCCTACCGTAATGATTCTATATGAGTCTATAGCATTTTGTCACTTCAGCTGCTTGTATGGAGGTGTGATGGCTCACTCTAGCATGTAGAAATGGAGATCTGATTCATTAGCTGAGTTTATTATTTCTTTTACATGATTTTTTTTCCTTCAGATTGGAGCATTTGACTTGGTTGCTGTTTGATTTAGTATGAGCTCTGTTTTTTAGTAAAAACAAGCTGTAAAAACAACCTATCCATAAATACAACCTTAATTATCAGAAAAATCACAGATGGAGGGGTGTGCCCTGAACTCTTAATATGTTTACAAACATATGCAGTGCCTCAGAAGTACCACTAATGTTTTAACATTTCCATTTAACATTTTATAAACAGTGGAGGCTTATGTTGTTACATCATGTTTGGGGAATAGAAAACTATGAGTAATGTATGATGAAATTTGTCGTACCTGATTAAATCTGTCCATTACTTGGATAATGGTAGGCACTGATTTTTTTTCCTTCAAGATTTCCTGTTTCTTCACCTCCTCCCCCCTTCTCCCCTCAATTAGAATAAACAGAAGGACAATGAAAAGGAAGGAGCTTCAAATTCAACATCTGAAGATGGACCCGGGGATGGTTTTACCATCTTGTCCTCCAAGAGCCTCGTGCCAGGACAAAAGGTAATACAAAGTATAATGTAACAGACTGGGATTATAGCAGTGGAGCCTAGCATAAACAGGATGTTGCTTTCGATCTAACAGCAGTAAAAAATCTTCACCTTCTTCCTTAGTGATCCCACATGTAAGACCAGAACTCACTTGAATCACAGGTGGGCAGAAGGTCTTAAAAACTTGTCCGCAGATAAAAGATTCATGTGAATAGTGCTGGTCAACCTCTCTTCTCTAGAGAGCCATGCTGATTAATTTCATGGTTCGACAGCAGAATTCTGTTCAATTTGGACTTGGCTGAGTTGCGTCTAGCATAGCGCCAAACTGGATTCAACCTTCTAAGCTATTTATTATTCATAAGAACAGACAAACTATTTTAATTTGATTCTTTCTACTCTTATTCTTATCTTGCAGCTTTCTCTGACACAGAGTGACATCAGCCATATTGGTTCCATGAAAGTAGAAGGCATTGTTCACCCCACAACTGCTGAAATAGACCTCAAAGAGGAAATAGGTGAGGCTGTGTTGCATGCAGACGAAGCAGTTCTAAAGTTGGCTTTTTGTTTTATATGATCATTTGAGAAATGATATCAGGAAAGTACTGGGGTTTGTATGTTATGAAGAGTGGGACTACTACTCAAGCCAGGGAAACTGTCCTTACATGTTTTTCAAAACCAGTAATAAGTAAATTTTGTCATAAACATCAACTGCTGCTCATAGAGGAAAACATGGCAGTATGTGCACAGTGGTTTTTCTTTTGAATCACATAGAGTTGTTGGTTTGGTTTTATTGGTGAAGACAAGGCCTTTTTGTTCTGTGTCCTTGCAGGCAAGGCTTTGGAAAAGGCAGGAGGGAAAGAGTTTTTAGAAACAGTGAAGGAGCTTCGCAAATCTCAAGGACCTTTGGAAGTTGCTGAAGGTAAAAAAGGACAATATGCCCAGTTGGAAAAGACTCATCCCATATTTTCTTGACATTCTAATCTGTTCTTGATTACATATGTGCCTTTGCTTATGTGATGTGTTTTTGTTTCTTCCTTTAAGTTGTTGCTGGTATGGACAGCCTGTTTGAGGACAGGGAGTTGAGGGGGAAAGGAAGAGGAGTAGGATACCTTTGTGCTGTATACATCCTGTCATTGTTCTTTGAAGCACCACCTTAAGTTGTGCAGGCAGTTCCCAACTGTGGGAGTCTTAAAGTTAAGGGAAACTTCTGCTTTCACTTTTGTGCTGTCTTTCCTCTCCTATTTGCACCACATTTCTTAGTGAGACTTAGGAATGGCTCTCAGCCTAACCTATGAGCTGTATGAAGAACAGTAATTTATAAAATATCCTGCTTTATACTGAACAGTATAACCAAAGCAACTACCTTACTTTGCACACAACTGGCATGTGTTTTGAAGAGCAGTTGGTACTCTTCTCCCAGGCATTACAGCTACATTACTGAAATATAAATTACAGAAGAGCTAGAAAATAGATTCCTTTTAGCTAGTTCCAGGAAAGAAGATAATCTTAGTTTAATGGATGGAAAATTGTACTCTGTCAGACAAACACTGTTGTTGGTATTTTTGAATTTACCACTTCCACTGGTTTTGAGGCAAGTAATAATAAATGGGTTTCTTATCACTGGAGATCTACTGCAAACACTTGAGCTCCAGCCTAACAGGCCTTGAATTCAAGTGCTGTTCAAAGGATACCTGTGTTGTTTTCAGTCAGTTTTCTCTTTATGGTTAAAGTTCTTCTCTTCTGCTTGAAATTTAAGGAGCACGGTGAAGCATTAGGTAGAATTCCTCCATGGTGGTGGATGGGAGTCTAGATCCACATTCTTCACTTTTGGATATTAATTGTACACCTAGATTCTGTGCATTCAACCTGAGATTCCTAAGGCCCAGATTTTTAAAGTGCTAATTTCTAATTGGACGTAACCAGTGGATACTTTCAGTAAACATCTTTGATTTCTCAGATTATTGTTTGAAATTGCCTAGCTGTGAAGGAGGTCCAGATATTACTCCACAATGCTCCAGAACTGTAATGGTGATGCAGGATTTGTGCAGAGCATTTAGATGAGGCTGTGACAGCACTGCAGAAATGTCTGTTGGGGAATTAACTATGCTGAGTTCAGGGTGAGGTTTCAACAGTTTGCACATTAAAGAAAATATCCAGAGGCTGTGCTGAATGAGAGAGCCTTTAATCATCACTGAATAACAGTTAATCAAATGAACCTCGGGTTCCTGTCCTCAAAGAAATAATAATTGATCACACAAGTAATGACAGTACAGATTATGAGTCATTGTGGCTTGCTTTAATTCCTAATGGATTTCTTTTGAAGAGGTAATGTCATGAAGAAAGACTGAGATGATTGATTAGATTGAAATGACTCATTTGAGAAGTGATTGCAAGGCGTTTTCTATTCAAAACTAATTGTTTTGTTTTCATTTGTGGTAGCTGCACTTACTCAGTCCAGCGGGCTAGCAGCAAAGTTTGTCATCCACTGTCACATCCCGCAGTGGGGGTCAGACAAGTGTGAAGAGCAGCTTGAAGAGACCATCAAGAACTGCTTAACAGCCGCAGAAGACAAGAAGTTGAAGTCTGTGGCTTTCCCCCCTTTTCCCAGTGGCAGGTATGGCTTTTCCTGTATAAGAGGATTTTGCGTTGTGTAATGACTGTTTAATGAGCTATCAGAGCTGCTGCTGTGATAGAAAGCCTTGATGGAGGGAAATTAGCTGACTCTCAGGAGAGCTGTGTTTTCTGTTATGAGTAATTTCCATTCTTCTACTTTGGATCAGTACCATCTCCAGTTTTGTCCCTTCCTTTTACTGTGATGAATCTTACTAAAACTCTACTGATATTGATAAGATTACACTGGCATCATAATGAAGTTGAATAACAGTGGTGCAACAGGAGCTAGGTGAATGGGAGATCTTTACTTAGGTCATCTCAAGAGTATATATTAAACAGGCTAGTCACACACGTGTCTTCTTTCAGAAGAAAACCACTCTTTCTTAAAAGTTCAACATTAAAAAGGCAACTTTCAAACCAACTGTAAAACTAAGATAACTAGCAAAAAAAAAAAAAAAGCTTAACTAAGAAATCCAAAGATGGTGGTTTTCTTGGGTGTGGGTTTTTTCTTTCTTTTCCTGTTTTTTGTTTGGTTTTCCTTTGTTTTGGTTTTTGCTCTTTTTTCTTAAAAAGCTGGGGCATTGCTAATCTTGGTGTCCAATTATAAGAAATCATACATAAGCCTCATTGGCACAGTTGTTACTCTTTCCTGATAGTGTTTGTGAGTCTAGGATTAATTTGAAATGTAATAACTGATTTTTTTCTTAGTTAACTTTGGGGTTTACTTAAAACTGCAGCTAACGCTGTCTTAACAGCAGGCTGCAGTGAGTACAGCTTTATGCCTTTCAGCATTACATGTGTATAAAGCTTGCGCAGGTGACTGATGCTCTCTTGTTTTGTTTTCTTCCCCATCACATAGAAACTGCTTCCCAAAACAGACAGCAGCCCAGGTGACTCTCAGAGCTATTTCCACCCATTTTGATGGCACCAGCTCTTCCTCCCTGAAGAACATTTACTTTCTGCTCTTTGACAGTGAAAGTATTGGCATCTACGTGCAAGAAATGGCCAAGCTAGACACTAAGTAGCAACAGCAGCCAAATGAAACTTTATTTTTCAACAAACTTGAGTAGCATTAAAAGCATTAGAGGTGGGTTTTATTTTTTCAATGTGGTGAGGAGGGGGAGTGGTAGTAGTGTGATGTGTTGTGACTTGATGAAGAGCTGTGACTAGAGATGAGAGGGGTTTAGTCTGATTTCTTTGCGCTGTCAGCATCTTCTAGCCCTTTGTGCCACCTTCAGCAATTGAGTTACCATCTCTTTTCAGGAGTTTTAGTGTCCCTTGTTACTTTAGTTTAGAAGTTTATAAAGAGTAACTTCATTTTAGATTTGTAGTGATGAAGTTTTCATGCACACACTTTAGAGAAAGCTCTTAAAAATATTCTGCTCCCTTTTCTCCTCCCTTGAGGGTGGATGTTAAACTTTTCCTCCAGCCCACAGTGGAGGGGAAAGAGATATTAGAAGTGATGCATGAGGAGCTTCTGTTTTGCTTTTTACTCACAATAATCTCTGTAATTACTGAGAATATTTCATGGTGATTTTTTTTGTTCGTTTTATAAGAAAAAAAGAAAAAGATTTGTGAAGTGTGATTTTTGTTATGAACCTCATTTTGCTCTGAAATTTGTCACCTTAAAGAGGGTAGGGAAGGGAACATCTGCAACTGAATACTTACTGTAGCACACTTATGATACAAGTAACCAGCTTCTGGCAGAAATGTAGTGCCATGACATAATTAAAGCTGCTGTGGAGAGGCTGACACAAAGCTGCATTATATTCTGTTGAGTTCCAGCATTACTGGAACCTTTTCACGGCTTCAGGCAGGCTTTTCACAGGCACTGTACTCAAGTAATACGCAGAGACTTTTTAGAAGCTAGAGTAGAGAAAGCCAGGAAAAACCCACGTAATAAACAAGCTACTACCATTTTGAAAACCATAGTGTTTATTGTTACAAATTAAGGTAAACCAGGTTTCTTGCCCAGAGCTGTCTCAACAGAGGATGAAAAGAAACAGCCCTTTCTTTGTTACAGTGAGAACTTTGGTGCTGGTTAACTTAGAAAGTGCCTCTTTCCCCATTGCAGTAACACTCCTTTGATGCATTACACTGAAGAACATCTTCAGGAGGTGCTGCAGGAGACAGCAATTCTCTAAGCAATAAAAGTGCACCTTCACCTTCTTCCAGCAGTTGAATTCCTCACTAGTTCATTTCCGATCCCCTCTTAAGAGGGCATTGTCTGTCCCATTGTTTTCCAGCTCTTTGAAACAAACAGGCCCCGACTTTTAGCAGTGGTCACTAGGAGGCGTCCCACGTAGTATCCGTTCACCTGGCCTACACCATCATTCCTACCCATTGAAAGCAGGAATGTTAGTGATCCTGGAAAGAAGAGGCAGAAGTTTAAGTTAGTATTTCACAGCTAAATACTGAATATACATATACAGAGCCACTCTCTGTTCAGGCTTTCCTGTTGTGATGGAACTGCACAATGGAGGGGGAGAGACTGCCCTTCCAAGAGGCAGACAATAAAACTGAAGTAGGAAAAAAATGTAAGCAGACTGGGAAACCTTTAAAAACCAAATGCTTGCCCAGGTATCTTCCATCCAGGTGGAGCAGCTTTCAAAGTAGTTACAGTATTTTCAAATCAATTACTTATCAGTGAGACTCATCACCTAGCTAGAGATACTTTTTAGATGAAATTTTTCACTTTGTTTGTGTTACAGTTTAAGGGGAGAAGGGAGGGGAGAGTCAAGTCCTCTCGTTGTTCTTAGGATTTAATTGGAACCAAGGTTGATGAATGGCTGAAACCCACCAGTATATTTATCAGGAAGACAGCAGTAAGGAAAGGACACGTTGTGTATGCAGATTGACACAGGTAATCAACTTCTACAGTGTCTCTGGCAAGAACTAAGATGAAGGCTGAGCTATAAGCCTATATATCCAACCCCAGCTGTGGGTTCCTTTGCCTCCAATTAGTATCCCAGACAAGTTCTAAAACAGCTGTTCTCTGCAGAAAAACAGCTCAACAGCTAAAACGAAGCACTAAGAGATTATGTTACCTGGTTGGTAGGTTTTAAGCGGCTTGTGTGTCAAGCTGTTGATGATATTTGACACTACAATGTTGGCATGCAGCCCAGCATGGTATGCCATCTTTGGTTCCTTCAGGTTTGCACAGTCCCCAATGGCATAGATGTTGTCATAGCCTTCCACCTGGAGGTGCTGGTTAACATTCAAAGCTCCGTTACTCGCCAGTTTGTCTCCTGTTTGGCAAAACAGTAAGTTTTGAGAAAGTGCTTGGTGTTGTGTGCTGTGGCCTGAGAGCCCAAAACACCGTTGTTATCAATGTGTTGATGACACAAAGTGAAGAGTTAAGATTTTCACTCTTTTTCTACATGTGAGGCAAGAGATGCTTTCTGTCTTGTAATAGGTAATTATTAACATTCTGATGAGTGAGTCATTCTTTGGTATTTCAGTGGAAACACGGAATGATTAGCAGCTAGCATGCATGGCCTGAGGGAGGGTCGAGCAAGTATGAAATCCTGCCCTTGGCAGCAGGAATTACCATTGACTACTAGGTGTAATCTGCCTGCTGCTGGACTACAGTGCTAACATTCCTTGGAGGTATTAGCAAAAGGAGCTGGAGAAGACTGAGGGCCTTGTCATCTGTAAGTTTCTGAAGGTCACATTTCACAGCTAAGTACTTAACTTGATGTTAGGGCATTTGCTATGTCATGAAATACTCAAGCAGAAGACATTGAGAACCTGCTATGCTTTCCCCCACGCAGCAGCTTTTCACTTACCAAATGCAGTGGCATATGCTGAAGAGTTAATCTTTATTCCCGTGCACAGGACCACCATATCAGCAACAACTTCTGTGCCCTTTTCTGTCCTTACTACCATGTCCTTCTGGAACTGGTTCGTTGTGAGATTTTCCACGTTGCTGACCTTCTCACCTGTTGTGACAGAGAGCCCTGGGTAACAGACCTTTACTCAGCTGCTGTTTCCAGCTAGCCCAGATGTTTGTAGAGAAACAGGAATTCAAGGGAGCCATGCTCAGTCCCCAAAAAATTAAATGGGGAATAGGTGATCAAAAAGAGGTGCTGTGGCCAAAGGAAGAGCAGCTTAGACTTAGTGTCGGAGTCTAGGTCTTCAAAGGCATTGTTAAGTACATACTTAATAGGAGGCGAACTCCTTTCCTGAGGAGAATCTCTTTCACCTCCTGACGGACGCTTTGTAGCAGCTCTACATCAGCTAGTGCAATTTTTGAGTGAATGAGGGTGACCTGTTGGCGACAAAACAGCAAATGGGAATGGTATGGGACACCCTGCATGTGGGAGTAGCAACAGACAGCTTCCTTCCACACTGCCTAATGCCCAGGGAGACTGAGCTTAGTGAAGGGCATCTAGTGCCAACAGTTGCAGGTAGCGGGCTATAGGGTGCTCTCAGAAGAGAAGGCATTGTCCGGAACTTCCTGCCTTGCACTGATCTCAAATACCTCCAGCAGGACCATGGAAGAAGAACAGCTTCAGAGACAAGTCAAATGTAACTAATATGCTCCTACCTCTTTGGCTGGGTATTCTGTTTTGATCTCTGCAGCCATCTCGACTCCAGCAGCACCACCTCCCACTACCACGATGCGCTCAGATTTTTCAATCTTGAAATAAAGAAGAAACTGATGTTACTCAAGCTCAACTAAGGCAAGCAATGCTTCCTAAGAAAGAAGTTGGTCCCTCACCTCCTTAACCATGTCTTCATAGGTCTGGATGGCGCTTTCCATGTCAATGACCTTGTTGAACTTCCCAGGGAATGGTCCATCACGGCCAGTTGCAAGAATAAGGTGGGAGTAGTGAAGTTCCTGAGGGGGCGGAGGGTTGGACAGGATGTTAGACCTTGTAAAATGCGAGCCTAAAACACAGTTGTTGCCTCCAAAGTACTATTTACTTGTTCCATCTCCACCAGCCCCTGCTGATAACTAGGAAAATATTTGCCACTGTCAGAAGGTGGCTTTAGGAGGAGATCTGATCCAGCTGAAGCCATGTAACTGCCTTCCTCAGGATCTGAGAGGCACACAGATCTTCAGATGAGCCCAGTGCTGTGAAGAATCTACTAGAAGCTTACAGGAAATAAGGCAATTGCTGTGCCAGTAGAGGTTGCCACCACAGCTGAAGTGCTGAGCTCAGAGTCCAGAGGGGCACAAGTGCATGCTGACTTCCCTCCTTCACTCCCTTTGAACAGAGGTGAGATGCTCTGGCTGAAAAGAGTTCCCAGAGCTGTTGCCAATATTTGATATTTTTTTTTCTTCCTGTGGTTAGATAAGGATCTGAGCTCCAGGGTTATCTGAGCTTCAAATCCAACCCTGAGAATAAAAGCTTATCTCAGCACTAGATGGGATGGAGTGCTTACAGCACACCTGTAATTCAGCACAACTCTAGGCCACTGATCTTGGCTAGAGGTGATACTGCTGTTCTGTGGAAGAAGGGGAAGATGGTCTGTTTCCAGGCTGGACAAGGATAATTAAGTGCTGTGCTATTAGCAGACGTAGCTTTTAGGTTTTAGAAGAGATGGTTGGGGGCCTGCATTTCTCTTTGGCAGTTCTCCATATGAGGCCACTTGTTTCACTGCTCAGTGCCTGCCCAAAGGGCCCGTGCTGTGGCTTGTCTGGGATCAGGTATTTCAGCCAAGCTGAGGGTTAGATCAGAACAGGACCCGCTGTATGTGTGAGCTCTGAGCCCAGGGTGCTGGGTGGAGCAGGTTCATGTGCTTGGCTGACCTAAACTGTATGAGATACAGCACCCAGACTGACTTCCACGGAAGGCAGCCAAGCTACCCTGACAAGGCACGGCATCACCCACCTCGCCATCGCTGAGCAGGACCTGCTGCCTCTCGGGGTCGATGCCCACCACCTTGCCTTGTCGGAAGCTGTCGCCAAAGGTGATGGTGTAAGAGATGAAAGTCTTCCTAGCAAATCCTGTGGTAAGAAGAGGGAATAAAGAAAAGATCTCCTTCCATGGAAGTTAACAGACCTTCTTCCCTCAAGAGGACCTTTCTGAAAGCACCGTATGGTAGTGTGGGCTGGGCCTCTCCTGCATGCTCTCTGCCCTGAATTCCAGGGCCTTTCCCTTGGAGCTGGTGATAAAGTCAGCTCCTGGGAGATCAAGTGACAACCCCAGTTACACTGTTTTATCACTGCTCCCTGTATATGGTCTCTTACTGATTTGCCAGTAAGTGCTCCACGGCCTTTCAGGCAGGCTGGCAGGATTTTTTTCTGTTTGGATAAGCTTTTCACATTACTTTGATGCTTATTCCCAGCCTCGAATGCTATGTTCCCCCCTAAATCCTGGACTAGGGGAGCTTACCCAATCCTCCCTAGATGAGCCCGAGCGGATGACTGACAGAATTTTGTCACATACAGCCTCAGGGATGAACTCCTCAGCATGCCACATGCTGAAAGCCATGCCATCCGCTGCCCTTCCACTTATTGTGCATTTCAGCTTAGCCAGCTTCTCAACTCAAAGAAAAAGTAAATTAAAAAGGCTGTCCAAATAGTTATTATTTCCTTCCCCTGCAGCCCAGGGGACTAACGTGGCACAGACAGCACGTGGGTTTTCCCAGAACCAAGTCATTATATTTTCATCGGACGGGGGCAGGAGAGGCACTGTGTGCCTCCTCCCCTAGCACCGAGCTGCCGCAGTGGGGGACACACAGATAGCATCGCTCGGCTTACCGCTCTCCACGGAAGCCCGGAGGGCAGCGACGTTGTGGTGGAAAGCATCTCTCATGTCCACCAGCACGAAGGGGACGGCCCAGGACTTGAGCTGGCTGGCGGCCGCGATGCCACCAAAGCCGCCGCCGACGATGACGACGCGCACTGAGTCGTCCACGGACAGCTTGGAGCCCATGGCGGCCGGCGGGGCTCGGCCGTGGTGAGACGCTCGGGAGGTTGCGTGGGCCTGCAGGCGGCCGAGACCGTCGGGTGCTGAGCTTTGGGGACGGACGAGAGGAGCAGCGCTGCCTCTGCCCGCCCCGTGACTCAGCGCTGCGTGCGATGGGCGGGCCGTGCGGGACCGAGCCGTGCTGAGCAGAGCTGAGCTCTCCCTCCGACACGGGGCGGGAGCCAAAAAGAGGCTTTTGTCTTGCTTCTGAAAGTTGATGAAGAGCGGGTGCTGTCCGCCTTTGCCTTGTCCCTTGTCAGCTGTGAGTGCTGGTTAAATGGATGTCGCTTCGGTGCCCCTTTTAGGATGGCTGGCTTGTCGGGAAACCCGCACGCGGGCTGAGACTGCGGGGCGGCTGGGTGATGGCTCGCTCCCTGCATCCAGCGAGCGCTCCTGCAGACAGAAAGGATGGGGAATAAGAGAGGGTCTGCGGAAGGACGAGCCCAGCATCGCCGTGCTGGAGACAGCGGGATGGCAGGAGGGGTTGCAGACAAAGGGACATCCGGACCCTGCTGTTCTGAGGGACAGGAGCTGCCCCCGAAGACTTTGGACTCCTGTGGCATTACAGATGAATACAGCCGGGTAAATGTAGCTGCCGCGCACACTGCAGCGCTGTGAGCCGGCAGATCTGCCCCACGTGTCGCAGGCTGGCTTGGAGGCTGCTTCTGCCCCTCAGTCCTCCTCCTGCCCTGTGCCAAAGCAACCCCCTTCAAACCCCACGAGTGGGGGAAGGATGGAGGAATTGGCAACTTTTCAGGACTAACGGGTTCAGGCGGCCCCTGAACTGAGTGATGTGCCCGCCAGCCGGCTCGGGCTGCGGGCTCCAGGTAAGCCAGGGGCAGAAAATCCCTACCCTGTTCACATGCGAGAACAGAGCAGCGCCGTGCGGGTTCGCTGCGGGGATGCTGCGAAGGCTGCGGCCGCCAGAGGGTGCAGGCGGCCCGGCCGCGGGGCAGTGGAGACTGAGCTCCGCTGGTCTTAAAGCAAATACCTCTGCTGGTCCTAAAGCAATACCTCAGAGGCAAAGCGAAATGCCCCTGGGCATTGCTACCAGAGGGCTTGTTTTTCCTCTTCTTGCCTTAAAATCAAGAGTAGAGCCAGTGGCAGGGACAGCCCTCCACGCTCAGGTGCTATTTCTGCTCCCAGGCAAGGGGGGAGATCAGGTGAGCCCCATGTTACGTCAGAAGATCAAGGCCACCTTTCATAAGAAAGGGAAACTATTGGAGCCAGTGAGCTGGAGATGCACCAACAAGACAAGGCCAGCAGTGCAAACAGGACCCAAAGCAAACTGCAGTGGTAAAAGGAGCCTTTGTGAACACTTCAGGAACCTCGTGTCCAACCTCAGGCGAATGGGAAAAAACTCTGAATGTTCAACAGAGTGTGGTTGGACGGAGTTCTCTGCGCACAGGTGTGTGCTTAGCATTGGCTGACATGTTGTTTGATGGTGTTTATCTGTCTGTCTGCAAGCAGGCAACTGCAGAAAGAGTCAACCAGTGTCAGAGAGGGCTTTGTCTTCTGCCAGCAACCTGTACGGTGAAGTCACCCATGGAGGCTGATGGCAGCTCTCAGCCTGCCCTGCTTCTTCAGGCTCTGGAGCTCATCACATCTGTCTGTGTGATGCCCTTGTTCTACCCTGAAGATGCAACGGGACCAGTGAGTTAGCATGGCATCTCCTGAGGTTCTCACTCATGGCACAGGGAATGAGACATGCAAGGGAGGGGATCTGCCTCTCTGCTCTGTGCTGGGAGACCTCACCTGAAGCACTGTGTCCAGATGGGGAGTCCTCAGTACAGGAGAGACATGGAAATGTTGGAGTGCATCCAGAGGAGGGCCATAAACCTGATCCAAGGGATGGAAGACCTCCCTGCAAGGACAGGCTGAGAGCTGGGGCTGTGCAGCCTGGAGAAGAGAAGGCTCATAGCAGCCTGTCAGTATTGAATGGGCTGTAGGAAAAAAGAGGACAGACAGTTTAGCAGGGTCTGCTGTGATAGGACAAGGGGAAATGGTTTCAAACCAGAATAGAGGATATTTACAGTGGATATAAGGAAGAGGTGTTTTACAATAAGGGTGGTGACACAGTGGCACAGGTTGTCCAGAGAGGTGGGGGAGTCACCATCCCTGGAGGTATTGCAGAACCATGGGGATGTGGCTCTGAGGGATGTTGGCAGTGGGGGTGGGCTGGGTGAGCTGAGAGGGCTTTTCCAATCTCCGTGACTCTGTGATTCTTTGACTCAGTGTGTGGGAGAAAAAAATCCCTTGCAAATACAGAGAGCAAACAGCTAATCCAGGACTTAATGATAAATGTTATCAAACTCTGTGAGGGTCTCTGCCGCAGCTTGGGGTGGGATCAGGTTAATCCAGGGCAAAGATTTGCCTGGAAAAACCAATTCAGACCAGTTTCTGTCTGCTCTTAAACATCAACAGCGGCTGTTTTTTTTTACCTTATAAGTAAAATTTGCTTTTAACAAAAATCAACAAGGCCCTGTTTTGTTTATTCTGTCTCCAACCAACCTCAGTGACCTCAGCTGGAGAAGACCAGCTGCTGCCCACTTCCCTCAGTCACTGCCCTCAGCACCATGGGCACCTGGTGCTGGTCAGGTGGGACAGCACAGCCACCTGTACTTACAGAGAGCAAAGCCCACTCCAGATGTGAGTACCTGGGCTCACCTGAGGTTTGGGCACTTTGGGGGTGTGGGGTTCTCCTGTCCCCTGGGGGAAATCCTGCTCCAAAAGCCCCCAGTGACTGCCTTTGGTTTTCACGTGCTGTGCTTCTTCACCACCCCTTTTCACAGCAATGCCATTTGGTGGGAACTCAGCACTGATTGCGGTCTGATGAAGGCAGGTGCAAACAGCAGCTCGGTCAGCTTTGTCCATCTGGGACATCCCTGGCAAGGTCCTGCTCCTGCAGGTTAGGGGTTTCACCACCTCCCCCCCATCCCAGGATTTCACTGCAGTGAAAGCACAACATATAATAAAAACATATCCTTAAAAAAAATCAGTCTCGCAGACAGGCAGCCTTTGTCTGAAGGTGTAATTACAGAATAAATATGGGATGCAGACCAAGAAGTGTGGTCTGGTCAGGCATGCAGCCTCTTAAAAAAAACACAACAGAACACAAGGCTGTCATTTAATGCTGAATGTCCACGTCTGCAGCCCCCGGCCCCCTTACCATTAGGTACGATCTCATTCCCTGGTGGTGCTTCTTACTGAAAATGCACACCTTTTCTCGCAAACCTCTGCCCTTCCTGATGTGGGGAAGGCCCAGAGCGAGGTCCTGCTTACTGCTTTAACCTCGGAGGAGCCGCGTGTCTGTCCCAGTGTGCCTGGCACCCCACAGTGCAAATTCCGTGTGGGCGTCATGGTTACATGTGTTTAATGAGAGCAATTAGTCGTCGTGAAAATCCTCATGGATTGGGGGCACGTTTTCTTTATGTCCTATGACATTTTTGAGTGGAAGCTGGAGAGTGTCCAGGAAGAAATGCTGCCGCTCAGCTGGAAGGGGCAGCCTGGAGCCAGGCAGTGCCATGCTGCAGGTGAGAGGGGCTGGACCCGCTCCCTGTCCTACATCAGCATGGCTCGGCCAGCCCTGCCCTGTGTATCCCTCAGTTTGCCCACCCGTCTGCCTTCTCTGTGTACAGTAGGAAGGGGCTGAGGACACTGGGCCCTTCTAAAACCCTGTTTCTGGGTCTGTCAGTCAGAGATGCCTTTGCCTTGCATTGCGTTTCATTTAAACTCTGTTTATTTGCTTCACGAAAGCAACGGGTACCCTTACGTGGAGGCGAGCACAGAAAGAACCTTGTTGAAGCCTAAATAGCCTTCCTCTGCTGTTTGCTCCTGGGAGCTTAAAACTCTGCTCCTCCAGCCCCTACTCCTCTGTGTGCTTCCAACCACCCACAAAAGGGGCTGCTTGTTTGCATTCCCCTTGCTTTGTGCCGTGGCAGCGTCCTTGCCGTGCCAACAGCTCGGTGGCATCACGCACCGCTCCCATCCCGGCGTGCAGCTGCGGGATGTGACTCCCATCCCAGCACCCCTCCGCCTTCCCAGCAGGAAGCTGCCAAACAAAACAACATTCACTGGGGAAGCCAGGATGCTCCTCGTGCCGGGAGCTTTGTGTATGTGGGGTGAGAGAGGAGACCAGCCCACCTAAATGCATGCACTACATGTAAAAATCCCTGCTTCTGCACCCTCTCCCAAGCCAGGCAGTATCCTGTGCCCTGGCCCTGTTGCATATTGAGGCCAGATGAAAGCAAAGCAATGGGAGAAAGGCAAACCCTGCTGCTGCAGGAGGATGGCTGCAGAGGCAATGGCATGGCTGCTCCCCATCGGCTGCTTTATGCTGCTCAATGCCACCTCTGTTCTCTGCTCTGGGTCGAAAACATGGCTTTGTGAGCTAGCTGAGCTGCAGCTTGCTGCTGAGTCTGGGCGGTCCCAGCGGCTGATTTTCACTTATTTATTTTTGCTTTTGTCTAATGGTGCTGGTGGTGGGGCTGAGCCATGGGTGGCCGTGCTGAGTGGTGTGGGGACAGTGGAGCCCCTTGCTTTCTCTGTTGGGTGTGCAGCCCTTGCTGAGCAGGGAGTGATGGCTCAGAGTCAGCTTTATGGCATAGGGGTTGTGTTCATGGTGTGCCTGTATTGTTGACATCAGGGTTGCTGCTGCCCAGGTCCCCATCCTGTGCCTGCCCACCAGTGGCTCCCTGCTGCTGGCTCCCTCTCTTTGCCCATGTGGGATTTGCTCCCTGACTGGCCTTGGATTGACTTCTTCTGGGGTAATATAAGGGCAATTAGCCCTATGGAAAAGAGTGATGCTGGCACTGATGGAATTAGGAGGACTTGACAGTGGCCTAGTGCTGCTCGGAACGAGGGCTGGTCCCTTTGCTGAGCACTCCAAGACACAATGGCCACCCTGAGCCAGGTGCTCTGCAGAATGTCTGAAACACCAACTTCCATCACACTGCTCTCTTTGCTCCAAAAACCTGTGCAACTTGTACCCATGCTCAGTGGCAAATGCCTTGGTCCTTTTGTGGGCTCTGGGACTGGGGGGGATGAACACCAACACGACATGTTTTGGACTCTGCCTCTCTGTATTGCTTTTTTGCCCATTTCTAATGAAGTCAAGTGAACAAGCTCCCACCAGGTGATGAGGTTCGGTTGCTCTGGGGCAAGTCATGGGCTCTGGAGAGCACCCTTGCCCTGTGTGAGTTCACCACAGTGTCCCCATTGCTGCCTCGCTGCAGCTGGGTGTCCCAGGAGCTGCATCCATAACTCATCCCACCCCCTGAGGCCTCCTGTGGATCGCACTCCCACCATCTCCTCTGTAGGTCTCTGCAGCACTTTGTGCTGCTCTGCTTTTTGGGCTTAGCTCTGACCCCTGATGTACCTCCCCCACCCCACCCCCCCTTCAATTTTTAAACATAATAAATAAATAAATTTGCCCCCCAACCCTGGTACACAGAGAAAAATGTAGAAAATAAATCAAAAGGACTCCCCCCACCCAACAATCAGCACTGCAGAGCACAAACTGAGAGGCCGCCTCGTCCTGCTGCAGGCAGCTCTCAGTCTGTGCTGGTACCAAGGCACTAAACCAGTAAGGCCTTTGAGGTCCAAGTCCCTGCTGGTGCTGGCACACCATGCCTCTGGCACTTGGTGCACACTATTGGAAAAGGCAGAGAGCACATGCCCATGGGGCAGCGACATTGCTTCCCGTGCTGGAGTCCACCCAGGAGTGCTCATTGTGTTTGGTGGCATTGGAAAACCTCCAGGTTGCAGAACACTCCCAGAAAATTGTCCCCTGGTTGGGGCTATGGATTCCTGCCTGCAAACTCCGGTTCTCCTGTGCTTTGCTCAATGGCCCTCTGCAGAAAGGAGAAGGCACCACTGGAGCTGGTGCACAGATCAGGTTGTGCTAAGGGCTCCGGGCACCCATGGTGCTTGGGTTTTCAATCTCAGGGTCTCATCCTTCCATCAGGAGAGGAACTAAACAGCTTCACTAAACAGCTCTGCCGCAGCATCCCTGTGCCATCTCCTGATCGCCCTTCCCAAGAACCCATCGCTATCGCGAGGACGCCCCGGTTCCTAGTCCATGGCACAGGGTGACCCCGGGCCGGCCGGGCGTATGGGAGCAGCAGTGCCGCACTACGTGACCCGTGTGGGGGGGCCCTCCTCCAGCAGGCTGAGCGAGCGGTTGGTCAGCTCCTGGGCGCTGCTGGCCAGCTTGTAGCCAAAGAGCCGCATGGCCGGCTCGCAGGCGTCCTGCACCACCTGCGCCAGCTTGAAGGGGATGCTGAACCTCCACTTCTCAAACTGCTCCGAGGAATTCTTCTGCGTGGAGTAAATGCCGTTGCCGTCCTGTGGTGCCTGCGTGTTGGCACGGATCCACTCCTCCACCTGCGGCGTGGGGTGGATGCCTGCGAAGCGGTACATCTCCAGCGCCTTGCGCAGCGGCGCCCGCGCCACGTCCTCGTAGCGCACCAGCATGTAACGGCCTCGCAGCCAGCGTGGCTGCCGCAGCCCCAGCTCGGCCGACAGCCGGATACTCTCGCAGTTGCCCCGCAGCCGCTGCACCTCGTCCTCCTGCAGCGGGGCTTCCCCCTCGGCCGCCCACTTCTTCCAGCTCTCATACTTGCCCGAGAAGGCCACCATGCGTGACGCCAGCACGGCACGCGGGTCCCGCACCAGCTGGATGACACGCAGGTCCAGCCGCGGGTCCTCGGCCAACGGCTGCAGGAACTCCAGCTGCCGGATACGCACCGTCTTCAGGGCCATGTGCTGCTTGCGCCGGCACGCCTCGGCTGCCA